GTGGGCGTTCGGCCTAGTCGTTCGAAATACTTAAAATTAGAGTCCTAACTAATCGGGAACTACGACCACAACGAACGATTGCAAGTTTGCGGACGACATTTAAACTAAGATGGAATAAGCATGGACTTAAAAAATCTGTGCATATAAATTTCTTTTAAAAAGTTTCTTTTTAATAGGATCAGTATCTAATGCTATTTACTGATTTTAATTTTATTTCGAACGACTAAAACGTAGATAATATCGACAATCTTTAGTTTAATTCAATTTACATACAAGTTATCAAAGAATTCGCAAAGATTTAGATTAACTTGTGAGTACACCTCGAAGCGACGTCAAAATAACTTTCAAATCCTCGCATAAATGAAATAATAATTGGATTGAGAAATGGAACCGATTTTACTTAAGATAATGTAACAAATATATATTTGAAAAATATCAAGACATCGATGTTAATTAGTTGGCTGGGATTATTTAAACGTAGTTAATTTTTTTTGTCATTACTATAGGTAACATAACATTGTTGAATTTTACAATATCAGATATGGAATATCGTTGTTAATACATATTTCGTTCGCCTTGTGCGCCTTTGCCGAGGTGAACACGAGCGAGCGTCACCCTGTGCAGTGCGTTTCCAATAAATTCGTGCATGGGCCTTTGTCATTTTATGCTTTGATACTTTTTAAAGTCAAAGGAAATTCACGATCAAAAGCGTCGGAAAAATCACCGTTTGAATCGAACGTCGAAGCTCTTTGTGCTTCCAACGAATAAATGAAAGCTGGAGAAATTAAAGCGCACGGGCGTACGTTTTAATTTTCTAACACTATGTTACTATCAAAAACATTGTTATTTACTTAAAAGGTTGGCTAGATTAATTTTTAACTTTGACAGATTAAATCAGGCTTCAATCGTTTTCAATCCACGAAGTAGATTCGAGGCCATTAAAAATATTTTAATACACAAAGATTTGACATAATACTGTATCTTAACCTCACTGCTATACAAGTGATATTTTATTATTTTTTAATCAAGATCATATTTCGAAAGCCTATGAATAATGGTGCTTTAGTAACTACAATTTCCCATAAATCGATGCTGGGCGCTAGAGTCACAGTACAAAAGTGGTGAAGTACATACCTACGTATGTTTAAACTGAAATGTATTTGAAACAATATTCAAGTATTTTATGGTAAGGCTCATAATATTTTGTGTTTGTCATATTTATATTAATTATGTATGGGTAACCTTAGGGTAGGCTCCGAGCCCCTCGGTGGGACATAAAGTGAGCTGGTGATGATGATGATGATGTATGTGTAAGTCACTCAAATGTAATTGATGAATATCTAACATGTTATGTACATATGCTGAAATACCTCATGTGAAAGTGTGAGCCGGAAATGAAAAGAAAATGTGCTTAAGTTTCTGAACGCGAAGACGGATGACATCCTTCCTAGTAATCTGTATAGCGGCAGTAATTAAGAAATCTGCTATGTTTATAAAATAAAAACTGCTTTATTCCAAAAACTGATCCAAATCAAAAGTTGTTAATATATAAGATCAGTAAATTTATAAATATTGTCGATTTTTTTACATCGGATTGGATAGTTACTAAGACCAATGTTTTTATACGAGTACTTGATCTAAATGACGTAATAAAACTAGTCTAGAAAAAACAACAACGCTAATAAATTATATTACCAAAGGAGATTTATCGCTTGCCTTTGTACTTTGTTCCTAAATCCAACATTTTGTTACAGATGAAGGAGTGACAAAAACGTTCACATGTGCCCGACCACTAATCGGCCAGCATGTGTTCTTACAGCTCGTAGGAGTTGAAGGTTCCCTGTCTCTATGCGAAGTCGAAGTCTTCACTACTGAAGGTAAGCCCCCGTTGTGAATAAGTTCACTTCACCCATTGTTAAACGGACATGGCATGTTGTAGAAAAAATTCAATGACGAAATGCGTATTCCATTGTCTTCGTCTTAAGTTTTTTTTTATTATTTGAAACTCATAATATGTTCAAGAAAATATTAATTGACCTAAGGTTCCACGTTATTTCTGGTTTGAAGCGGTTTCTCAAACGAGAAAACCTGTTGCAATAAACAGAGATATATTCTCGTTTGATACGGCGATCCGTTGACAAGATGGATATCTGAATATTGGTTTTCAGAATTACGTTTCCTAGAATTTGTATGACCAATATTCGCATGCATGTCATTATAGTGTCGCAAATATATTTTGGAGCACCATCCCACGCCCCCACAAACTCACATTCCCTACTCCCATGTAATGCATGCTAAATGAGATCGAAGCTAGTCTAGAGTGCAATGTCATGATCGAATAACAATGGTATAACACAAATGTACCTTGAGTTTCAAACTTCAACATAGTTTGTGAAAGGCAAGTATAAAACATATTGACGTCTCTGTTTTTTTCAAAGAGAAAGAAAGTGATGCCAGTATGTTTTTAAACATGTGTTTCAGCAGTGAGAACTCCTATACAGATTCGCGCGACACGTGTATTTTACCTTTGTGTTCTGGGAGTTACTTGTCTTTCAATACATAAAGGACTTACTTTTACTTAATGTCGCCTGTGAACTGTGAACTACACACATCTTTGGATGATGTTTTTTACAATATTGGTGATTTTAAACCTATTTTTAGATAGTTACTGTTTTATTTCAAAACGTTTTTTTATATACAATTTAAGTATTTATTTGTGTAAAATGTAAAAAGTAAATCCTTTACCCGAACATATACAAATTGATTCGGCTTTCCGCTTTCATCGAGGTTTTTAAATTCCACTACAACAGGATTAATTACGCAGCTCCATTTGTTGGATTTGATTGGTTTTTATTTGTATTCGTGATTCCAATAATATGTTTTTTGAATTATTGTTAAAATACACGTTACCTAAATATGGAACTAACCATTGTGACAAACAGGTCTTGTTAATAGTTGAAAATTTTTGAATAACAATGCAGTTTTATTAAACTTAATATAAATTTAACTATACATATTTTAAGCTTCAAATCTTTATCTAACAAACTAGGAGTACTGAATTTAACAAAATCTTTCCACTACAGTAAACGAAGTACATTGCTTTATAAATGTAATGGGACAAACATATTTGGAAATTAATTTTTATTTATAACTATATTTTCATTGAACATTGTAAAATAATGCAAAATTATTTGAACGTTCAGCTTGATTTTCTAAAGCTGCCTTCCAGTGTTCCGGAATTATAATAAAATAACTAACCTAACGCTCGTGAACTCTATGAGCTTATAAACTTTTAATGAAGTCACAAATGCATGTAATATGTGACAATATCTATCTGTTCATTTCGCTCGTTACTCGCATGTAAGTTAGCTTTGACTTTAAATAAACAGGATCTGTCAAGCCCGTGCATGCTCCTGTGTCAAATAAAAACAAATAGTGAATTTTCAAGTTGTCTGCGTATGCTCCAGCTCTGTTCCGTTTTTTTTTTTTATAAGAAAGGGGGCAAACGAGCAGCGGGGACACCGAGATGTTAGTGTGTAATATGATGAACCAGTATACGTTGATATAAACTCTTAAATTTTACATGTCGTTATTATATGCACATATGTTATTATTTATAATCCCCGAGAATAGTTGCATATTGAGTACCACGCCAACTCTTTGTATAGTCCATTTCTTAATGGTGAAAGATACTCGGCAACGTCTATTTTAATGAGCCCGTAATCTGTGTACCGTAACACAAGTCAACCTCCGCTCAGTACTAATTAATCCCTGTTTACACTTTGCTGGGGAAGCTCTCCGCTAGACATTTTTATTTATATTGTAGTGGTACAAAATGTTTAAACGTATTTGTCAAACGAATGATCACGTTAAGGCGTATAATTGAGGCTTTAGTTGTTTGTAAAATACTAGCTGAAACCATACGTTCCAGATTTTTTTACTTAAATTTATTATTCAGAAACCTAAGCCATACTAAGAATGCTTTAGCAATATTTAATCACAAACAGGAAAATGGTTTACAAATAGAAAACAAACATAAAGATATAAAAAAGTTTTTCATTTATACATAACATAGACTGTAGAATACAGATTAAATAAAATACTAAATACAGTAAACTTTGCTGTAAACTTATTAAAATACACATTACGGTAGTGCATGCGACAATATTGAAACATAATAAACTTAGCCGCTCCAGCGAATAATTTCCGCTTCCAAACAGAGATTTAGTAGGTAACATTCTGTGTAATGCAGTGTAAAATACATACTTAATGCAATTTTCTTATGAACTTCAGTTGTGAGAGAGGAAACGTTTAGTGCATGTTAATGTTATTTGTGACAATTTAAGCGCAAATTTAACAATAGACTATTAAACAATAGACACTATAAGGTTATTCAGATTAAATTACATTAAAATTGAAAATAACTCATGTATTTTCACGCTAGTGAAATAATTCTGCTTGTATGTAAAAGGTCCTCACATACCTTTGTCATTTTACTGATAAAAATCTGTTGCAAGCACTAAGTACAAATATTTTTCTCAGTAAGAAATCTCATATAACATTGATTTTTTGTAGAGTTTTCCAACGACCGATGTGCGCCGGCTGGTGCTTCCGCTGACATTGAACTTGCGGCTTTCTCTCGTAACTGCTACGAGTTTAATGTGGCCAAGGGAGGCTCCTTCGATGAGGCGCGCAAGCAGTGCCAATCTCACGGCGGTGACCTCATTCATGGCTTTCAGGTAAAAAATCGATCTCATAAAAGATGTATCATAACTCATAAACACTTACATCACAGAATAACGATCGTACCAACAAGCCCTCGCCTTTAGTGAATACGCATATATTTTAATGCTCTGTGACGATACCTTAAAACAAAACTTTTTCACGATAAAGTGACCGAAGGGACTTTACGAAATGTTCGATGAAATCTTCGAATACACAATCTAAAGTTTGTATCATCTCATCATCTAATTTAAACTTAGTCAATTAAAAAAAGTATTTTCGAAAGACTATTTTTCTCTATAAATATAATGTTAGCCTAGCTATTGATATTTATTTCCGATTAAATATAAAGTGCCACCCTAGAGTTTACAAACTTTAGGTTTAGGGTTGTAACCACTAGTTAGAGATATTCCTAAATTATTTAGTCAATAACTAATATTAATTCTGTGACAGTTGTAGTTTGCCTTTGACTATCTCTTCCAATGGAAAATGTATTAAATTGAATGAAGTTCAACTGAATAGTTGCCTTTGCAAAAGCATAACTGCAAACGCCTCTCCACGAGAACCGAGTTTTCGATTTCCGCTCTGTTCAACTATTTCTGTAAACAGTGTTTATTAGATTTGAATCTTTCAATATCTCATGATGGTGAAATTTTGTTGATTTAATTTGTTTTTCTTCTATTCAATATTACGTGATCGTCAACTATATCCATAACAATATATTGTAATCGAAACAAGATTAGATTTGATTTGATAGAGTTGAGTATGTATGCATGTTTGAATGCAAATCAATTGGATTAGCAGATGTCCACTTGTCTGTACGTGACACGTACTTACCATAAAGGTCAGGCGCTCAGCGCTCTTTGGCTTTTGCGAGCTTTGCTGAGCGACGAAACAACGCAATATCTTTACAGCATATTTAATGTTTTGTATTTTAAAATAGCGCGATTTTTTTATTCCTGAAGTGTAAATACTAGATTATATTTGCCGACCTATGTAGAGCTGGAAGATAATGTTATTTATTGAGTCTGATTGAGATTTTCATCAAACATTCCTAAAACAAAAGCGTCAACACGATCAAAACATACAATGGCATGAATTGACACACGTAAAATTAGATAAGTAATTTTGAACTTATAGTTTTTAGTCGTTGGCGAGTAATATCGGATTGACATAATAAAATTTTTATTTAAATCGTGAATAATATACCTTAACCGACGGTAAACGTCTTTTTGCGTATACACCTTGTAAAGTTCCTATTCGCACTATTATTCCTAATAAGTTTAAAGGCGGAATACAGCCTGCAGTTAGAAATTACTGTAACTTAGTACTTATAGACTACTATAGTTATAAGACTACGTTTAGTTGAAGGCATCGCGATCACTGAACACACTGGAAATCCCTAAAACAATAGCGGAAACATGGTGGAGACTAAACTATGCTAATTACTGTTTGTTAATCTGAAAGCGAACAGGACCATTACGTGACATATGCAATTCGATAATTGTTTAAGACGTGACATACTCAAGCGAATTATCTATTACATACTAGCGATCCTCTCCTACTTTGCACGTATAACGAAGTCCACAATAAATTAAGAATTAATCGTATCTTTTAAGTTGCATTCGGTTAAGTACTTGCGGATACTATCAGGAATTATTAATGTACGACTGATTGTATAATATAAAATAACGGTCGATAAAATGTTATTGTTCTATGAACTAAAGCTTTTATCACAAAAATATTCCAGATCTAATTAACATTATGAAAATAGAATTCGCCAGTGTTATTGTATTGTATTATTTAGATACAAATATTTTTCTAGGGTGCAACGTCAAGTTACTTAATACAAGAACTGGAACGACGCAAAGCACAGTTGAAGACCCAATTGGTCTGGATCGGTGCTCAAAAAGAACCGGGCCTCACTTCGAGAACATGGCGATGGGTTGATGGTAATTATTATAATCTTTAATACTACTTTCATATAAGAGCAGTGAGGTAGAGCAGTAGCCAGTTCGGTACTGCTTTGCTTTTACAATAAAATTATATTTGCTTTTCACTTAGGTTCGAATATCGTATCATGTAATATAGTTAAACTTTGTATTTGATACTCTTGTATTTTGCCTGAAGGTATACTTAACAATACCGTAAATTAGGTATACCTAACAATATATTACGCTGTACTAAAAATATTCTAAGTATTTGTTGTAACGTGCGAATTTGATACAAAGGTGAATTGGTATCGAAACCGACTTGGGGCAAAGATCAGCCGAACAACTACAATGGTGAACAGAACTGCGTGGTGCTGGACGGTGGGCGCGCGTGGTTGTGGAACGACGTCGGCTGCAACCTCGACTATCTGCACTGGATCTGCCAGTACCGTGAGTGTCACCTTCATAGGTACATATCTATACTTTATTCTGATGCGCTGCGAGATGCAACGCGACATTAATGTATAAACCTGATTTCCACTGGGAAATACGTGGACAAAAATCAATTTTTACACATACTGACCTATTAGAAATAAGATAGTTCCGGATGTCCAAAGGCGTCGTTGACTCCTTCTGTGTTCTGATGATGATGGAAAATAAAACTAAAGTATTGTAACTTGATAGAAGCAAAACTGTTACACACGCTGAACAGTTGGTATTCCTTATTGTCGCGTAAAATTTTCTTCATTTGCAAGAAACTAATCAAAAGATCTTGCATTCTATTCAAATACTTGTGTATAAATTGTTTTTATGTGTTTTATTTGTAAAGGAACTAAATCGTGTAAAAGATAGAAAGCATACCTGGATTGTATTTAAGCCACCAATATTTCTATTTCACACCTGCCTTTTGTGAGGTCTTTTATTTTACCATTAGAACAAAGATGTTCGTACAATAAATGCTGCTTTTATTATTATTAATTGAATTAAGTATTAGTGATAAGTTAATAATATTATTTATTTTAATCTTTGCGAATTCCTTTACTATAAAACCCCGTCTGTAGCGTTTTGTACCAGCTGGCTGTGGATTAAATAAGATCTATGTTGACTGCACGACTAATGCTTAGCGGTTGAGCACTTACGCGAGTGCGAACTTTCGCGAATGTAATTTTGCTCAAATTTAGCCCATGCAACCATTTTGTTATACATTTTGATTTTGGACGTAATCGTATAACAAGGCTTAAATACTTACATGGATACAGATTAAAATATTAAACAATTTTTTTCAATCCAATTTGTTTTTTTTACTGTGGCTGATATCATAAAAGAAGCGAACAAAAACATTTTATTTAAAACAAACGTAAAAATCTCAATGTTATTTCTCCAGTACCGCCATCTTGTGGGAGTCCAGATAAACTATTGAATACTACAATTGAAGGAAACAGTTACCTGGTGGGCGAATATATCGCCTACAAATGTCCCGAAGGTCACATGTTGCTTGGAGATAAGACCAGAGAGTGCAAGGAAGACGGATTCTGGTCCGGAACAGCGCCTAGTTGTAAATGTAAGTAATAGAGTCTTCCATATAGTTAAAACAGTAGCAATCAAGCTACACAGCTCTTAATGGGTTGGGTTGATTATTAGTTAGCTTAATTGATCAGTAAGGGAGACACAATAGAGGGGACCGATTACCTACTTTGAGTATAGCAGTTAAGTAATAGCTCCACGGTGCTTCTAATTGTTGTAATTACTTCGTAATTTAAACTTAACACTTAAAAAATATTAGAACAATATAATGTATATAATGTACTTCCAGATGTCGACTGCGGTGGTCTTACCCCGATCCAAGATGGCGACGTGTCTTTAATTGACGGACGCACTACTCATGGCGCAAGAGCCATGTACACTTGCAAAGAGAACCACACTCTCGTCGGTGAGTCGTCGAGGGAATGCAGTGATGAAGGCGTATGGAGCGGACAAGCGCCGAAGTGTCTGTTCGACTGGTGCCCAGAGCCAGCCCCGGTGGCAGGTGCTACTGTAACAGTCAGTGGACACAAAGCCGGCTCTCTAGCAACCTACACTTGCCAAAATGGATTCATATTGTTCGGTACACCGGTAAGTTGCTATACATCTATATATATCTGTTTGTTTGTGAATAAAAATCTGTTAAAATGAATTACGGTGATATTTACATTAAAGGTCAGTAATCAGGATCGCTTTAATTATCTTCAAAAAATCCGAAGAGATTCTTATTTCAAACTCAGGTTTTTAACAAATTTTCCGATCATTTTTTTTTTCAAAGAATCTTGTGATGAAGTTTTTAATCTCGTCATTTTTATTAGCCTTCACCGCTTGGCGAAAGCAAATTAAGCACCTTAGCCACAACCTATTTGTACCTCGGTATCTTTTATAAACGTAATTTTTTTTGCAGAGTGTAACTTGCAAGCTTGGCGGTACGTGGGCAGGAACACCGCCTTCTTGCAAATATGTGGACTGCGGCACACCAGCACAATTGTATAAGGGTTCCTTCAGACTGTTGAACGGCACCACGACATATGGCTCCATAGCGCAGTTTAATTGCGAAGCCGACTACTGGTTATCGGGGACTGAATTTCTCACATGCAACAGGGATGGAAAGTGGTCCCATGACATTCCGACTTGTGATCGTAAGTATTTATAAACTAAAATTAAAACTGTATTTTGTTCATTTCTACTTCGAATAAATTGAAATCTTTCTGAATCGAAAAATTCTGAAACTCCGGCGACAATATTATTTCTTAGTAAAAAAGATTGTAATTAGCCCGAACTCCTGTAAGCAGCGCAGCGGAAGCTCTAATTAAAATCGATTTCCCGGAATCCGTCTTTAAAATAAAACTCTCAGGTCGAGATGTTAATAAAATGAAAAAATGTTTCCATTAAAAAGATACTTTAATGAAATGTATAATAAATATTACGTAGCGATTACTACATTATGGTAGCCACATATCGTTACTTTTGTTTAGCGTTTAGTTACATCTATACTATTATATTAAAGCGAAAACACACACATCTTTGTTGCCTAAGATGTCAGCAATTACAGCATATTTATTACAGCATATTACTAAATTATAACGTACTGTTGTCAACATTCTCGTTCTCGTGTAAAATATACATAACAGTATATTATTGTATATGTGATTCTGCAATATGGCATACCACTAGATAGTCACTTAACAAATCAGGGTTTTAGGGTACGGCGTGGGCGACCGTCCAAAGCACTGGACAAAAACGGGCGCCACAGGTTTTGAGAATTACAGTCTCAAAAAGCCTGTTAAAATTTCGTCCAAAGGCCTCTTAGCATTAACATGGTAATGACTTAACAAAATTATTCAAGCACATATTTTGTACATTTCCAGTGATTACTTGCGCTGATCCAGAAGTTCCCGCTGGCGGTTACATGGAAGCTTACGATTACAATGTGCATTCGACTATCGACTTCCACTGCGAACACGGTCACAAGTTAGTTGGAGAGTCTAGTTTGATTTGTCAACAAGACGGCGAATGGTCTGGAGACTCCCCGAAATGCGAATGTAAGTTCAGTATTGTAGTCTGTATGATGAAAAAGATTGACCCCATAATATAAAATTACATATACCATATTTCCATTCCAATAAGCCTTCGCAAAATACCCAGTAGCTTTCGCTAGCGCTGTCATTATGGCTCACTAGCGCCTCTCTTTCTAGGCCAAAAAAATATGTCATAAGATTGTATTATTTTTTGTTACATTTATTTTATCTTTATATACATTTGTCTTTTTTATATTAATTAATAGGTATTTAATTTTCACTGTCAGTTAAATTGTAGTTCTAATTGTCCAAAGAAGCACAATGTGTGCGGCCTTAACTTAAAAAACGAAACAGATGACAGATGTCAAAGTCAAAAGATCACTGTCAACTGTCACTGTCAATTTCTTTCTAACGTAAAAAAGTAAGTTTAAAAACTTTAGAACACTTCAAATAAAGTGAGTTTTGGCCGAAACAACAGAAAAGTAAACAATGTTTAGTGCAAATAACCTCGCAAACATTTTACCTAAAAATAAAATTGTAAAGAAAAGAATATCGTGTACACGTCCTAAAAAATTAATTTATTGATGAAAACAAAAATACTCTTTGAAGAACTGCGAATATATGCCTCTAAAGCTATTAATGGATGAGAAAAATAATCTTGGCTTAATGCGAATAAGAGCATTAGCAATGATTGAGTGACAAGAATACATTGTTTTGCCAGATTGTTGAACAGAACGGTAGTCAATGCTTTCATATGTCTCACTAGTAATAAACCTTTAAATTGTGCATCAAATTTGAAAGATGGGAGAAATTTGATTGTAACTTAAATATTGTTATAGATGTGGATTGCGGCAAGCTCCCGCCACTGCCATATGGATCTGCAGAACTACTTAATGGCACTACACATTTGGGCAGCATCATCCAGTACTCATGCACTACTAACTACCGTCTAGTGGGGCCTGTACGTAGAATCTGCACCGAGGATCACCAATGGAGTGAATCATCACCCAGGTGTGAAGGTATGAATTCCTGACATGTTAAAATTATTACATTGAGCAGTATAATTCTTGGGAGTAATTAATTTTATCATTACAAACAACCATGGAATAAGTTGTCGGCATTAGTGTTCCCGTCTAGTCATAATGTGAGTGCTATTGAGAGCAGTGTGAATAGGTTCTTAATGAACTAGCATGCGCCATTCTTCAACCCCATCTTCACTATGGTCTAGGTGCGATTGAGGTCAACGCTGGTGTATAAATGATAAAAAAGTCATAAACAACTGAAAACCATTCTATAAGTGGCAAAGATACAGAGAGTAATTAATTTTTTGCAGTCGTACTGTTTTACAGGCATTTATTTTGACTAACACTTTATTTCTATTGTAGAAAACTTGACGAGGCTCAAATATGTATTGGGTTTTTGTTAATAAATATGTTAATTTACCTTTTACAGAAATCCGCTGCCCAGAGCCTGTAGTAGCGGAGAACAGTATAGTATCTGTGACAGGCAATGACCGCATGCATGGACGCACACTAATCCGCACAGTGGGCAGCACAAATGCAGGCAATACATACCGCATTGGTGCCCTCGTTAAATACCGTTGTGAGAGAGGTTACAAAGTCATTGGAGAAAGCCTGTCTACTTGCGAGGATAATGGACAATGGAGTGGAGTTACACCTCATTGTCAATGTAAGTACTAAAAAAAACTAAAACTACTAAGAAAAAACACTGCCTTGTCTGGTGAGCTAATTTTTATAGTATACAAAAATAATCACAATTGCATGGAATATTGACCGAATTTTAGTCCCTTTTCCTTTCCACCCTTAAGAGGAAATAATGGGAAGTAAAGTGGAGGAGATGTATAGGAAGGTAAAAATATCCTCTTTACGTGAGTCTCGTCCTCCATTGATTAAGGGTAGGCTACGCATCTGCAATTGCGGATGTCTATGGGCAGTGGTTGCATCCCCATTTCAGTGATTTCAATGACCGCTTGCTTGTTTGCGACCTTAATGATGTAATATAAAAAAATCTCTTATTTAGGACTTTACTATTTCCTAATTAGGACTTTTTTGTTTAATTTATAAAATATAAATAATTTTTAGATGTGGATTGTGGCAATCCTGGTCGACTGCAGAATGGTATAGTGACACTGGCTACTAATGCTACATATTATGGGGCTGCAGCATTGTATGAATGTGATGAACATTGGCAACTTGATGGTGTTTCAAGACGGTTGTGTCAAGATAATGGAACATGGAGTTCTGAACCTCCAGTATGCAAAGGTAATTGAAATTAATGAAATAACATTATAGATCAAATTTAGTTTAACAGAGTTTAATTTTATACACCTGTTGAGCAAAATGATTAGTCTAAAAGTGTACTAGCTTTTATCCGCTACTCTGTTTGCAAGAGAATAAAAAAACAAACAAAAGTAAGTAGCCTATGAGTTATTCCAGATTATGTTCTACATCTATGACAAATCTCATCCAGATCTGTTCAGCCGTTCAAACTACAAACTTTAACAAACACCCATCCATCCATCTAAACTTTGGCAACTATAATATTAGTGTGAATGTTTATGACTTAACATGCAGCAGTGATAGGAATTAAAATTAAAGATACAAATTTAAATAAAACATGTGGGAACTACGACTATGTTTTTAAAATTCATATCAATATTTTATTGCCTGGTATTTTTTAATCTATTGTGAAAAGTTTAAAGGTAAGTAGTGACATAAACTCAATATCTTAATATTTGTTTTTAGAAATAACATGCACAGATCCATCGATCCAGATAAAAGGCAGCACCGGACTTGTTGTGGTTACATCCTCGCTCAGTATTGGCAGTGAGGCTCACTACCGCTGCGAGCGTGGGTACAGTCTCCGCGGCAACCAGACCAGAATGTGCATGCCAAGGGGAGTGTGGAACGGATCACCGCCAGTCTGTATACGTGAGTAAATTTATAACTTTGTTGTTTTATGGCTTTCAGTTTCATCAAACACAACTAGAATTAATAGACTAGAACTAGACATTAACACAACTAGAATTTAATTGCCACGACATTTCTATTATTACATATTGACGTCCCTTTCATTTACTATAACATGATAATAAGATGGTAAGAAAAATGAGCTATATAAGGAAGAAATTGGCAAAACCTATGTTGTTTATTATTTATAAATGGGGAAACCATCTCGCTTTTTGAATATCTATACTAATGTAAAGTGAAAAGATTCGGATTTTTGAATTTTTGTATGTATTGAAATAACTCAAAAACTACTAGGCTGATTTCAAAAATACTGGCACCATTAAAAAGCTATGTTATAAGCTATATTTTTTTAATTCAGCTGGTATGATAGCAGCTGATAATTATAATAATTAAAATTGCAACTGTAATTATTTATGATTTGTTATTGTTACAGCAATTGATTGTAAGTCACCGGGGACGATTGAGAATGGTCGCATTATAATATCGAACAGTTCGACACTATTCGGAAGTTCTATCGAGTACCACTGCATGCCGCAGTACCAGCGAGTGGGGCCGTTCCTAAGGAAGTGTTTGGACGACGGCAAATGGTCTGGAGATGAGCCAAGTTGTGAGCTAACGACCAACGAAGCTACAGACAGCGGGGCTCTACCACTTAGTGTTGGTGTTGGCTGTGGCATCGTACTCTTCTTGCTAATGCTGCTCGCTCTTATTTATTTAAGACTGTAAGTAATGATTCAATTTCCTTAATTAAATATTCTTTTTGCCATTACCATTTGCATATTTGAAATGTGGTGGAATGGCCTAGCCACCCCTTACTTAGGGTAAGCTCCGACCATCAGTGGGGACGTACAACGATGAAGTGAACAGGCAATACTTTGTGGCTTCTGTTTAGTGTTATGGTTTATTTTATTGTTAAAATTTTAAGTTTTTGTTAATGACTTGACGGGCTAAATATGATGTTAGATTTTTTATCGAGCAATAAAAATCTATCATTATTGAACTGACTCACTAGATTATATTATCTGAATCTTATTTTGGCTGTAAAAATATCATTTTGTATAATATCCATATTGTTTTACAGTCGGAAAGCAATGCCTGTGAAGAATACAGAGAATATTGAAGGCGCGGAGAGGAAAGAAGACCAAAACGCGGCCGTTATGAGCTACGCCACACTACACGATACGAACGGGCGTCATATCTACGATCACGTGACGGATAATGTATACGACTCGCCGTACAGCGAGCGAGTGGCCGACAATATCGCGTACGGAAGACGCAGCGACACTGATTCCGCATACGAGCCCGAACCCACGGGACCCAACGCTGTCGTCACAATAAACGGAGTCGCGGTGCGTTGATACATTACACAATAACCTGTACAAATAACACATACAACATTGCCAATTAGTGTAATTTTAAGTAAATTGATGTCCGATTCGAAGGACCAACTCGCAGTGATATTGTCAAATTTATAAGTGATACATTGTAAAGTTTGAAAGAATGGATGTATAATAGAATGTTTAAATAATCAAATGGCGATAATGTTTTTGTTTTTACAAATTATTTAACACAATTATTTATAATCATCATATAAGGCTTTCTGGTTTTTTCATTTCGTTCAAACAGTTTAAATGATTGTAAAGTACCAGTACCATAATAAGTGAAAATATGAATGACTTTAATACTATTATTTATTATTCAAATATAATTTACTGACAGGAGTCGATGATTGTAAAAAATGTGTTTGAGGTTATCACCAACCCTTACTAGGTATTTAACCAAAGATGTAAATGAGTTGGAATTATGTGAAGTAAAATAATATTTATGTATTAGTTTATGATTGTAACTATATTGTTAAGTGATAAAAGAATTGGAATGCGGCATTCGGATTTTTTTAGGTAAAGTTAAAATAATAATGTAAGTGCTGGTTTGTCTTTTGCCTTGATTTTCTTTGTACTCAATGCCTACTTAATAAGAATCTTTAAAATATTCACTATCATCAATGTCTTATAACACTGAATTGCATGTTGTTAATTAAAATATATCCTTGTTCACTTTAAACCTTTAAAATTAATTTATGGCATGTGTACTGTCATGAATGATTACTGTTTTTAATATGTTCCGTGTTATTGATGCATCCAGTTCTAACTGCCACACCTATGATTGTTAAATGACCTCAGGGACATATTCCTACACTAAATTTACACCAAGAAATGCCCTTAGGCTCCGCTTAACTCTGATTGTATCCGTTGTTCTCCCTTTTGAAAGATACTGTAAATACTTAGCGTAGTAAGGTGTTTTATAATTGGAAGAAAGTGTTTGTGAAAAATATATAAAAAATGATATATGTTTAATTTACTCTAAATTCTTTATCAGCCCTTCTTAGTTTGAACTTGTTTTTAAAAGCATTAGATGTACTAAATAAGATAATGATTCTTCTAACTTCATGTCTTAGTTGTTTTTAGTTATTCTTTTCAGACCGACAATGATATCTGATTTAGTGGACATAAGTGAAATTAAATAATAACAGCTCACTAGCGCCATCCGCTCAATGTCATAAATGTGTTACAAAATAAATGGATAGGTCTTTGTGAATGAAAGCTTATGCTTCGTTCCGACAAACGCGTTTGTTAATGTTATGACAGTTCATGCTTTCTCTATTACCAGTTCCAGTTCGTAAAACTCCAACTCCAACTCCTCCAGCAACCGCAACAGAGCTAAGATGGCGAAAATCAAATAGTCGCAAAATACCACGTCTTATCGGCTGTCAATTATAGTGGTCAGTGTTTTCGTACTACAGCTGTCTCGTCAAGTTGTTTGCCATTTTCTACGCATACTTAGGTTTTACATATTTTCTAAAAAGGCTTACCGCCAACAGCAGCGCCCCTCACTAGCTCAGATATCCTTGTTTAACTAAACTATTAGTTTCGACTCAGTGACATTTGTAATGACATATATTGGTATCTCTCGCATAATCTTTGAAAAAAAGAGAGACAAGTATAGTTGTATACTCGTATACGAGTCAATACGAAATTCACTTCAGTTGAAACACATAGTTATGGTATTTTGTAGATAGATTTTCATACTAATTTAGTTTGTATATTTTTGTTTTGAGTGTTATGCATAGTTTAAGAACTATACAAACTTTAACAGTTTTTGATAAGCATCGAAAATATATTTTGTTACTTTTATAAACTTGTACCTATATTAATGTTAATTTAAGTGTTCGTTAAATAAACGTATACAACATATATTGAAACTTTATTACCAATATCACTCATAATATAAATTCACTCGAGTTCTGTCGTTCCATTAAATAGTTAACACGATAGCATAGAAAAGTTCACTTAAGAATTCCATAATTTGCTTTATCACAAATTAATTATTTATTAGCGATTTAACAACATTTTATAAAAGTTACAGACACCATAGCATTATTAATAAGTTGCAATTCTAAAATGCTAACATATTTAACAAATCTCCAATGTCATCAAAGTACAATATTTGGACGACTATTATTTAGATAAAAATTGGATCTACTACATAAAAGAATACATTTTGGGATATTTGTATAGTCATTGCATTAATCTAATATATAAAGCATATTTTTATTGTAATACACAATTCCTTGAACACATCTTTATCTATGTAAAAATATATATTAATCACCCTATCCTAAAGTTTATTGTTGCCGTGAGTTTCCACTATTGTAATGCCTAAATAAAACTTTGTCATACATACGTATGTTTTTAAATAAATATACTTTTTGGAAACCCACGGTTAAGATTATGAAAAATTGTAAAGATTCTAAAATTGATACATCTCTTTATGATTTTCAAACATATTGGCGACTCGAAACATCGCAAGTGTCCATTGTAGCGTGTAAAGGACACTGCAAAGTAGGTGTTTGAGTCGCCAGAATGATTGAAACGGCCAATATACAAGAGGACACTGACCTCACATATTAAATGTTAATAATTTTAACACTATTATATACATTTTACTTCTGTTAATATACATATACACAATACTACCTTAATTTTCTTCAAAAATGCTTTCCAAATGCATTTTTATAGCACTGGACATGATGTAACTAGTAAGTGTTAGCACACTTAAGATTTGTGCTTTAAAAATAAACGTCTTAACTATGATATAATAAAACTTTTTGCTTGTTCTATTATTTTGACTTTAGCATTGTGTTACATACTGGTTTTCGTTAGTAATAACATTACATTACATAGTATTTTGTCTTGTTTGTGTCCTCAATAAAGTCCACTTGTTAATTCAGCAAATGAAGATATAAATAGCTGGGCCCTGCTGGAAAATAACCTTTCTTTTAAACAATATTTTCTTGGGCCTGCTAGCAGTTTATTTTTTGGTTTGCTATAAAAAATAATATTGATAATAGTTAATGTTTCTAAACTTCAAACAATTGGTTTAAAGCTGTAGCAGTCGAGGATATTTATTTCCTACCCATTTCGTTGAGTTATTTAACGCAGGCAATGCGATAAAATCGAAAATCTTAATTGCAACAGACGTACGCGCTAAATTATAAGTCTCATGGTGTCAGTTTGCTACAATGTGTGATCAAAGTGGGTAGCGAATATAATACTTTGATTGTACATGGAAGACGTATCAAGTCTGAGTTGCATAAAATACCGTTACACAAAGGCACAAAACCAGTCATTGTACATTAAATCTCAGAACAAAAGTTGACTAAATTAAGGCACTTTGGAAAACGCCGTAAGTAAAATGTGATGTAAATTCAATTGAAATTCAAATAAATAACTAGTAATTCGTAAAAACTAATAAAACAGACTGAATAACTCAGATTGAAGTATATGTATCAAATGGCAGAACAAATTATATTATTATTTACTTAAATATCCTACAAAAACATTACCCTCATGTAAAAGTCACAGTATGGTGAATAGAAATAATAAGAATGCTAATAAAGAAAAAAAAAGAATTCAAATAAAAAAAATTAAAATCCTTCATTCATACATTTTGATATTTTTTTTATTATTTAATATAGAAAAAATATAATAAACGAAAGGAAAAAAAATAAAAATAAAAAAAATAAATTCAATCAATTTATTTTGGCCATATTATAATTCTGGAAATAAATAAAATTTTACAAACAAATAAATTTAAAAAAAATCATCAAACACTTCACATTTATACATTAAAATTCGAATTACCTTATCATTATTTTCTTTTAAATAACATGCCTTTAAAAAACAAAGATTCAGAACGAAATTAAATTTACAATAAGATTTGAGATTATACAATTTTACATCTACAAAAAAATTTCCAAAATCATAATTTCCCAGCCAGGTCTGTACGCAAATATTTAGTGCGCAATCAAACGTTTAATATAAAAAAATTACGGTGGATATCTATCTGCTACAAAATTAAAACGATCACACATCTTACAACGCTAATACATCGACTCTAAAACCTTTAAATTTGCTTACCCGGGGTTCGTCAACCATCCACATTATTCACGAACCGTCTAATCTCTAATATAAAAACAATAACAATATAAAGATAGAGTATAGAATAGAAGAAAAATAAAAAAGAAATATGTATACATCACATTTGAGTAACATTTATTTACCACTATAACAAAATGTGAGTAGTTGTGATGTTTGAGACTAAGGACCAGTATAAATGTGATGCTTGGTTTATGCTTTGACCCCAGGGTCGCCATTACATTTTTTTATATAAATTTACATTTGTCAGTCGGAGGTAATAATCATTAAACTTCATATTAATAAATATAAAAGAAAAAACAAATACATTTCAATAATTAATAAATTGATATGATGACACATTAAATTGGCCAAAAAGCCCGTAAATTACATTTAATTAAATTATAATTGATAACAGATAGTTCCAACAATACTTCCAATACTATTTTCGTGATGCCTTATAGGTTATTCTTAAACTATTAATAACTAAAATCTTTTAGGAATATATTAAGACGTGCAAGACATGGGTACAATAATATTAAATTTAAAACACAAACTATGTACATTTGGCAATGTTGAATGGCGACAAACATTGGCAACGGTTTATTACCTAAATGTTTTTATACATTATCTTCAAAAAAGATACGTACAAACAAATTCAGATAAGACAGTATAAAAAAAGAATTATAAGACAGATACAAAAATATATAGAAAGATTTAAGAATTACATTTATCAGGAAAAAATTCATAGATTAAAAATAAATGAAACCAATCAACATTGCCAACTGTGCAAAATTTTAAACATTTAACACTCAATAAATTTTCACTTTAAAATTATTCTTCAACATGCATTATATTCATAAACTATAACTAAAAACACATTATAAATAAATTGTTGCTTACACGGTAGTATTTACACATCGTTAAAATAGGATTTGGGCACTTGTGTTATTGTGCCGTAGTTGATGTAGGGCGGGTAGAGGGGTACAGCTACAGGCGACTTTCATTTTGACAACTTGCTAATGACTCGGATAAGAGCAGAGTTTTCGTCTCTCAGGCGCTGGGTCTCCACTTGTAGCAAGGTCAAATTCTGAAAATACAATTACTACACATATTACACAGAATTGATACAAATTACATCTTTAAAAAAATCTTACATCTTCAATAATAGTTATTACAAACATTTTTAATTCAGCATTGTAGACAAACAATATTTATTTACTGTTTATTAAACTGCTTATATCATATCAAAACAAACTGTATTATTTGTTATTTCGAAAGCGTATTAAAACCTCAAATCTATATTACAAGGGGAGGTACATATTTTAGATACATATGTACATATGCGTTATATTTGAATACGTCTAAAACACACGATGTGTGCTGAGAAAACATTATTAAAGTTGGAATAGTATATAGTAAGGAATTAAAATGCTGATAACAAGTTTTAAAATATTATATCTTTACAAAAAATGTACTTTTTCGGAAACGAAACATTCCATTATATAATAAGAATATTTTATAAATTCCTCATATGAAATGGCTCCGTTCCTTCTAGTTTGGGTACCAGTCTGAGAGATGATCGCAAAGACATTTTTGTTGGCTTAACTCAACGAACCCGACTAACTGATTTATATGGGTGCAATAATATTATATTACATTACAATTTATAATACACAAAAAATAATGTTAATACATTTTAAACCATATATTTCCGCTCATTTGAAAAAAAAATATACTATTATAACTGCCAACATAGTTAGAGTTGGTCAAATTGTGACCATTTCAGTGTTTTGTTTATATTTTATGTGTTATTTCGCATAATCCGGTGAATGTTAAGACATACATAAAATTAATGAACAAATGTGACGAACCTGAGTTATTATAATGTATGCATGATATTTTATCTGGATCATAAGTGTATACGCATTAACCGTGAAATTGCACTAACCAAACACTTGTATTCATAAACATTTATCTATACTAATATAAAGAGGAAAGTTTTTAATTTTGGTATTTGGTTATGTATTAAAATAACTCAAAAAGTATTGGGATTTTAAAAATTCTTTCATTTTAGGAAGGTAATTTATCTGTGAGTAACATAGGCTATATTTTTAAAATTCAAGAGGACAAAGTCGCGAGCAACAGCGATTATGAATTGGAAACACTAGAAAATTAAAATACGGCATCCCCATTAAAATCCAGAAACTAATTCTTTATAATATTAAAAGAAGGATGGCAAAAATCATGGAACTCTATTTAGCTAGTCTAAGTGTCACAAATATTAAAGCAAACATAGGCTTATTTCGTCGCCGACGTTACGAAAACGTACTCAGGACTACTCCAAATAAGCCCTTTAATAAATATTTTTTTAGTCACTATTTCCAAGTGTTAACTTTCAATGACTACTGTTGTCTATTCATTGCAGAATTTCAGTAAGTATATTTATAGCCCTCTATTATTTCAAAGAGAATGAGCAGGATGGCGACATACAAGTGCTTCGACAGTGGAAAGCCACAGTAAAAATGGTTTCGGATGTTGCCAGACAGATTTCATGCATCACACGATTGACAACACTTTACGCTGGGCCCCGATAACTAATAGGTATTTATTGATATAACCCTAAAAACTATAATATATTAATTGATGCAGTGTTAAAAGCTTACTACATATTTTACAGCACACGACAATAATTAATAGTTAATGTAAAAACCTTAATAAAAAGAACAACTTCGAATTATAGTCTTACTTGGGAAATTCTTCATTAAATCCGTTTGTGCCAGAAAATACAAAATTGAACACGTATTTGGAACTCTCGAAGCGAGTTAAATAACGATGCTAAATTTATAAATGTCATATAAAGAATTTTGCAATTTAACTTGAAATTCAAAAATTACTTGAATTTGAATTGAAAAAAAAATATTGCGTAACTTATAATAATTACAACTTCTTTTTACCTTATCAGATCGTTAAAAGGCGAAGTTTATAATTAACTCTTATCCTATTTAAATACGTAGGTTAATAACAAAGCGCTTGTGTAGACGTAACCAAAACAAAATGTAACCGTATATCAACTGCAGTGATGCTTGTCTTAATGCATATTGTTGTCTTTGTTTTATCTAAGAGAATGAAAGGGACAAAGTGTGCATTAATTCAAGTGTCATGGCAGTCAAATCCACAATATAGTTATGTATGGGCACAACGCAGCGATCAGCGGGTCCGTTATATGTAGCCGGGAGGAGCCGGGATGTGCCTGCACAAGTGTGTTCAAGGCGCTTCACGCGTCACGTCACTAAGTAGCGAGCATTACCAACATAAAGTTTTGTTCATTTTTTTAACTTGTAGTGTAAAATTTTCAACGCAGTTATTTTTAAAGAAAAAAAAATATTTCATTAAAATTAATCTACCTTCAATATAATAGTAATTTTACAATTTTAACTACGGTTAAAACGTTGCATTTTATTGTTAATAATATTGATTGCGATAAATCATTAATAAGTTTGTTGTAACGTTTGTTATTATAAAAAAAATAATCTTTTGTAAACGCTGTGTACGCCTGTCATCTGTAAGTTCTGGGTATTTATTTTTCACAGTATATCTAAATTGCAATTGGTGTACCTTTCAAATAAATAAATAAATAAATCTATACAAATGAATAAATTCGAGTTTCTGTTTGTAATGTCAAAGGAAAAATTCCAGATTTCGAAGTGATGATGTATCTGCGTTGCTAATAACGAAAATCGCGTTTCAAAAATTTTTGTCTGTCTGTCTGTCCGCAAGCCGCGTTTGTTCCGGGTTATCTCCGAAACGGCTGGGCCGATTTCGACTGGACTTTCACTGGAGGGTAGCTGACATAGACCCGTATATCATAGCCTACTTTTTTTAACGGACGACGACGTGGACCGATTTAGACGATATCTAGGTATCTCGTAAAAAGTATATGCACGCGGGAATTTTATAGAAGACCATTTTTTTTAAAAATCAACGCTGACGAAGTTTGCGGGTGACAGCTCGTAAACAAATAAATAAATAAATAAGTTGGTATTGCGCGAGCCCGCGGCGCCGGCGCAGAGTTGGCCGTGAACACACCACGTGTACCTTTGAGGCACCTAACTAAGCATGCGCGCTGAACTCGGTTAAAGTATCTGTGAGTGGGGAGGGAGGGGGCTTAGCGCACGCCTCCCGGTGCGGTCGTCGGCCGAGGCTTTGTTCACAAGCTAACGACAGTTATTATTTTACCCTTGCCGTCTCATCGAAAATTAAAAAATAGTAGTTTAAAAAAGATGAAAGCTCTTTGATATAAATTATTGTGTATGTAATAAAACATGAGCAGTGTGAACTAGCCAAGGAGTTTGACCGTCAGCCGAGTGGTCGCGGCAGTCACCGCTGGGCGGTTGTTGTCAATCGAACACATTTTACCTATTTAGCGGAGTTGGTCAATTTGCTCACGACCCGCGTTAAGGCTCGATTCTCAGCTCTCAACCTTTCGTTCTCGGCTTTAAGTGTTTGCAATTGCTATAAAACGAATACCAACATTAAATCGTCGTAGCGAGGCGACCGCGTTCACGCTTTTTTGACCTATTACATTTGGTGAAAACTATGGCAGTTCCTACATAAAAATAGTTATTTCATATGTAAAAATAATATGTATATATATAGATATAGATATACTGTTGTTATTTGTGTATGTAAGTAAGAACAAATAATGGCTTACCTTCAACTCCTCTTCCATCTCGGACAACTTCCTGATCATTGCCCTTTTTTCTCGTTTATCACTTTCGTACATAATGGCATTATTGCCCTGGAAAATACCTTCAAATAAGGGCAGATTAATTTTGCAAAAGCTATTATACTACTATGTGTAAATACATATACACGATTACTAGAAGCTTTTAAAGCATGAAGATCAAACGTAGTAATGAGTGGATAGATACGTGAAGCCAAAACTTGCGCCAATCTGGCAATGCGCAATGCGTAAGTGAATAATATAATTAGTTAAGCGGTGGGCGAGAATTAGTCAAATGTTTGAAATAGGATCACATCTCTTATATACACGTTTTGCACACAATGAAATTTATTGACTGCCCCCCAGGGAGAGGAGAATAACTGAAATGAAAAGTTAAAAAAAAAACAAAGCAACAATAATCGTAGCATTAATGAAAGTCTATCATTCAAGACAATGTTTCTATTTAAAAATTAGAGAATTTAAGAATCCTTTCGTCTGAAGCCTCTTTTATTTATTTAGTATTTTGATTGCTTTCTCTGGAGGGTGCATCAATTGATATCACGTTGTATACAATACCATGATTATTTGGCAATACCTGCTCGTATTCTTTCTTTACTGCTTCAGTTTCTGCCAGTTTCTGTTGAGTGTTGAACAGCTGCACTTGAAGTTTTTTCACCTCGAGCATGGCATCTTCGTAAAGTTTTTTATAATTTAAGGCTGTATCCTCTCTCGGTTGCTCCCAATTTGACTGTAAGAAAGGAAATATAACAGGTAAATAAACTAAAAGTAATAGTCAACTAGAAACCACTATCATTAGATCATGATGGTATGATACGACTCTTTATGATAAATCTACAAATGGTATAAAGGTCATCACGTTACTTCATACAATAAGTTGATATCGGTATCATTCACAGAAGATTATAACAGAATATGATATTTTTGTACTGAAATTTATAATTTAAACGGTAAACATACACAGTATCCTTCTGAATCTAGAGAGTTGACACTCTGCGAACGTGAGTCGAGAGTGGCGGCTGAGTCGAGAGAAGTGAGGGAGCGGGAACGCTCTTTGCTAAGTCCGCGGTCTCTGTTAACCGAACGAGATTTTCGCTCCGGTCGTACAGGTGCCACTTCTGGAGCATCCGATTGCTCCTGGGATTTCGGCGGTGGGATACTTTTAACTTTGAAGTTCTTTTGGCTGGCTAATATTTTTTTGTCCAATTTCTTCAGGACCGGTGTCATTAAGTTCAATGATCCTAAAGTAGCACTACTCAAGTAAACTCCGCCGTAACCCGAACTGGTGCCCCCGTATATGCCCAGACTGGACGGACGGCCGAGACCGACCGTATAAGGATTGTAATTCCTGTACGCGCTAGACGTGTAGGAGTTAGAATAATTGTTTGTATAAGGGCGGTATTGTGAAGAGACCATGGAGCCCAGTACGCTCGGAGATGAGCCATAGCTCGAATTCAGGCCCCTCGGACGCGAAGTATATCTATCATGCTTTCGACTCATTTTCACTCACATCCCGTATAAACGCGAAAACACAGACACAAATAATACTACGGGCGAACGGTACGCGACATGAGAACACACTGAATGTTTTTCAAGTTCTTATAAATCTATGCGGTGTGGAAACGTTGTTGACGCCCACGCAGAACACAGGTCTGTGAAACTGTGTGGGAGATGCCCATGACGCTGCCTGTGATATTGAAATGGGAGCTTTCTATCGTCATTTCGAAAATCTGGAGTAATTCGTCAGACGCGAGAAAAAATACGACACGCTTTGCAGTTTAGGACTTCAATGTTCGAATTCGTGAGTGCAGTTCACGAATTAAACAATGTAATAAAATCTCATTACATAACTTAAAAACAAGTAAATTAACATGAAATAACACTTCCGAGATTATGTGCGCACATTTATAAATTTTTAATTTTAATTTCAATTCTAATTCCGAATCGCTAATAATTGTATTTGTGCTAAATTGCAGTAGCACGTGGTAATGCCTTTTGTTGTTAGGTCGACGACGAAAATAAAATCTATTTTCAAGTTTAAACAGATTCCCGTTCGGTATACTGCATGACCCAAATACTGATTTGTTTGGTCCCGTCTAATGTATATGACTGGAATTCTAAACCACATTATATCTGCTCACGTATTTACATATACATAAATGCCATTGTTTGTGCGTATGTCTCTTCTGTATTTCGAAATCACTTGTCAAATTTTAAACATCTACGGACTCCAGTGGAAATTAAAAATGAAAATATAATCTTTTTTAATCACTAAGACATTATTTTGACTTTGGCTTACAAAGTTCTATCTAGAGTTATAAACTTTTTTTTCAATACCAGTCTCTTAGTTTACTATGGATCTGTGATTAACAAGTTTTATGTTGTTAATAAATAAAGTTAAGCTCAAAGAAATGGGGACGTGAACGGAATAATAAGAAACCAAAATGGAAATATAAGGAGGGAAATATTGTTTTAAGATAAAATTATACAAAGGAAGAAATAAGAGTAGCGAGAGTGCGTCATTCGGCCATGTGTTCACTAAGATGTGCCGTCATCGACCGATATATACACACTACAGTTTGATCATTCTCAGAATTCGTTTATAACATCAATCAATTTGTCATGACTAGGGAGTTATAAACATTGATATTGTTCCGATAGTGTATAGACTTTAACAACAAATAGACATATAAATAGATAAATCAGTTGTAAATACAAACAAATGTACTTGAGGTGTTCGCGGTTGACGTACGAATTTATGGGTCATTTAGTATGTACAGTACCAATTGGATTCAAGCCAATACGTCAATATTGGATCGTAACTGTTACATATAACTGTTGTTTTACTCACTAAGAAAATGTCTTATAATAACAAAACAACGTTATTGAACATTTAAATTTCAGCGGCATCTTTGTTTCTTAACAATCAGTGTGTATAATATCGAATCTTTTTTAGATGACGTATTTTAATTGAAAAGAAATAAAACAGGATAATCGAACATAAACACTTGTCAGAAAATGGCGAAGCAACCGTCGCCTACAGACATCTGCGATTGCATTGTACAACCGAAAGGAAAATTTGCTCAACAGCTAAGAAATAATTCGAATAAAGGAACATTCAATCAAAGATACAAGTCATAAAAATGTCAGTAATTACATGAACATTAGTTAGATTAATATTTTATTATGATGATCAACATAAACCTTCCTTTTTCCCTGCGGACTCGGCGTAAAGTAGTGTATGTTTATAAGCCGTCATATCTGAATTCATTTTTCTTATTTCACACAACCCGCCTTTACTTTATTCGGATTTCTTCTAATCAAATAAAGATCTTTCTCTATATAAAAATGAATAAGATAAGAAAAACACTTACTGATTCGGTTTTTATGGCAGTATTTTCTTCTTCCAAATCGCCGCTAGCACCTCGGTCGTTGGTGGAGTCCTGGAACAATGACATTGAATAATAAAGTAATGCAAATACACAGAAAGTTAATCGCAGAAACGGCTGGGCCGATTTGACCAGACTTTCACTGAAGGGGAGCTGACATAGACCCGCAAATTATAGCCTACTTTTTTTATTAATAATTAATCTAATTTCCATTATTTATATTCTTGTAGGTAACTCATTAAGATTCAATTCAAACGTTTTAATATTTATTAAATATACTATCTTCATATTTTATAAAACTTTGAGTTTAAGGACTTAAATTTGAAAAAAGAAATCTTTTTTTTATTTAGCTTATAAATATCTTCTTTGATGATTTTAACAAAAATGGGAACTGTTCTTGCGTCAGTTATGTGTTATTTATTAACTAATCTTGGCAAATATCCAGCGAACATTTTTCGTGTTGTGTTACATTATTACATCGTCTTCTAAGAACGTTTTTTTTTAAAAAATTTCATAAAAACAATCTCTAAACGCATCATGTGATTTTTCCTCAAAAAAAATTTGTTGTGCAACATAAAACAATGATATATTTTTGAAGTACACGATAAGATTTAAAAAAACTCGTTTCCCGTGTAAGCTTAAAGTTTTAAATTTAAAATGTTAAAATTCAAATACATCTGGAAGCTTTAATGCGGCTCGTAGTTTTTGTCCCTTTCCCGCATGACAACCTTTTTCAATTTATTACCCCTAAGTTTGATAGCGTGAAAACAGATAGCCTAAAGCCTGTCGTAGGTTTAGGGCTTTTCTTAAAAATAGAATAATTAAAACTAAGCAAGTAACTAATAACTAAGTGTGTGTTTACACTATTATAATAGTATAAATGTTAGTCTTTTTTATTTCTATATCTATATTTTTTTACAATTTATTAACATAGTAATCATACCATATATACTATATATATTAACATTATAATTTTTTTTCTGTGAAATTAATGTGAAAGTTTAGATGGATGGATGTTTGTTAGAGTTTGTAGCCTAAACGGCTTAACGGATTTAGATGAAATTTGGCATAGACCTAGAGGATAGTCTGGAAGAACATTTAGGTTACTCAGTTTTTTTTAATTCCACGCCGGCAGAGTAGCAGGCGAAAGCTAGTTGACTTATAAAAAAAAAAGAATTTATTATCATTAGATGTTGCAGTAATATGAATACTAACTTCAAAGTCCACTTGTCCCACGCCAGTGGAGCGGCGCTTTGACCGGCGGCGGCGTTGGATAACATTTTGCGCTGCCTGAGTAGCTGGCGACGCGACAGTGCACAATCCGAGATCACTACCCAACGAACACGTCTCTGTCGCTTCGTTCTCTCTTTTCACAGTCTCCTTCTCGTCTTCTTGCAAAATTCAATGAATATTAAAGCCTCGAATCACATTCACTTCGATGAAACCAAACATTTTGTACTTTAACTGAACCAGTAACGTGTTAAATTTTACTAAATTGTAGTGAATGGTAAGTTGGATGGATGAATGTTAAAATGTATTTCCAGAAGAGCTCAATGGACCTCAATGTAATTTGACATATATAAATGTCACACACACAGTCTAAAAGAGAACATAGGCTACTTACAAAATTTTTGTTTAATTTCGCGCGTGTAGTCATGGGCAACAGCTATTGTTTATATAAGAATCTGACAAAGGGGCAGAGACAAATTTAATCCTCTTATCACTTTAATGGTAAATATATACAGATACAGAAAATTCACTGCTTCCACAGGGTTGGAAATTAAAATCAGGGATTCTGGTGATATTCCATCTTAATGCTAAAGCCGTTTGAAAGTTTGGTATATAGCTGGGATATAATATCCCAGAAAGCAGACAATTAGTGTAGATTCTAATAGCGATACTCTCTGCTAGTTTAGTAACAACAATCATATATGTACGTATTTTATTTATATGTATTACCTGTTCTGTTCAAGGAAGCTGTCGCAGTAGATGCAGGCGAGCGGCGCACATAAACTGTAGCCTCGGTCGCCGCTTGGGGTGGTGGTGCCACCGTTGCCGTACTCGCCTCACCCACCTCCTCCAATAACAAAAAAATCAAGTTAAAACGCATTGTTCACATACCAAAATTATTTTTTTTTACAACGTAAAAATAATCCAACAGCATTTTTTAAAATATAAATTATACTAAGCAACAACAACACTGTGATAAAGCATGTTATTGGTAAGTCTATATTGTTACATTTAAGAGAGTCAATACAACAAAACAAGTTTTAAAACAGATAAATTAACTTAGTCAATAGAGGAAAATATTATTCTAGTTACTTTTAAGTGCGAAAAAAACTGTATTACAATTAAATATTTATCGACTATAATTTCAATAACATCTAGTGAGGTTGGACGTCTGTTATCACATGCTGATGTGAGACATATGATTTTATTTACTAAAACATGGTCAAGAATAACATGCAGATGAAGATATAATTAAACAATCCCAACTAGTAAATTCCACAAGAAAAATCACAGCTTAACTTTAACTTTATATTAAAACACTAAATATAAAACATGCAGACTCGATCTAATAAGTATATCTTCACGCAAACCTCTAAACAATTATTTAATTATACAAAAAGATACTTTTATGTAAAATTTTAGATAAAACAGAAGAGACGAATTTTAGCTAGCAAGGAATAATAAAGAATTCAGTTCACAACAATGCAGCAAGGAATAATAAAGAATTCAGTTCACAACAATGCAACTAAAAATCCTAATAAAAACACTGAAACAGGTTTATAATAACCACAAACAAGGTCACAATCAGACACGACTATCAATTGCAGAACGACTATAAATTTAACAATTATGATTAAATGCAGAAATTAAATTGATTATAATTAGTTAAGTTATCTGCCTTTGAGACAGTTATCTAATAAATTATATTTGCCATTATCAGAGCTAGAAGTTGGATTTCTCCGGTGCCAGATAAAATTACGAAAAAAATAAACTAATTGTAAACCAATAATTTCAAGCTATTTCTCACGTCATCTTCAGAGCAATTCATAATCGTGTTCCATACGTACGGATATCATATGTTCTAAAAATGTATAATCTTTCGTCTTTTAAATTGCACTTACATATGTAATATAATCTATTCTAATCAATATTTCGGACCTTGTTAAAAACTCAACAACACGGCAACTCCTAGATGGTCCGAGAATATGACAATAAAAGTTGAATCGCAGCGGAAAAATACATAACTAGTTAAAGTCAGTTCCGGTAAGTTAACCTCTGCAACATATATTAAATTATGTTATGTCCATCCGTGGATAAAAAATTTAACATTATGTATATAAAACTCGTTTACGGTTGCCGACTTAAAAGGATTGTGCAAAAACTAAAAGACAATATGCATATGACACCAAATTGTACCGAACTTTTTAAGTATTGTTACTATAAAAACATACCTTTAAAGATTTTTTTTAATATAGTGAGATTTAGTGACTAAATTTAATGATTTAAAAGTGTGTTCTTTTTAATTCCGTCGCTAAGTTCTAAAATGCAACGCTATTGGTCGAAGCAAGTGACTAATCTATTATGGCGTCGTTGTGTTATCAATACAAATTAATTACCACTTATTTGTACCAGAAATAATAATAAGGAATACATTTTTGACTTTTGATAAACTCTGAGAACCAATGAGATACTTTGATGTTTTTTATCCTCGTACATCGAAGTGACATCTGAGCGAATGAAATGAATGAAATGCATTGAAATATGACGATTGACGTCACGTGTCTCATGTCAACTCCGGTCGCGTTTGAGTCGCATGGTGGCAAAATGGTGGTAATTTCATTTTATTATTTTTAGCTCAATGATGGAATAATTACGAGTAATTTTTTTCTGGTTATTTTATAACAAGTAGAATCGTTTAAAAAAAGAAAAAAACATGCATATTCCCTATTACAGCATCCGTTTGGTTAAAAGTGAGAACGTAAATTGTACATGACGTATGATATCCGATAGGTATGTAATGGTATAGCGTGAGTGGTCTATAGACCTTGTGTGCGGGGTCGAGGCGCAGCCGCCACGCGGGGCGACGGTCGCTATGCGCGGCGATGGTTGCCGCGGCGGTGGCGGGGGCCGGGGGCAAGGGCGGGGTGGAGTTCGAGGCGTCGGCCAGGGCGCAGGACAAGGCGTAGGTCGGGTGGGCGACCCGAGCGTTTACGCACGCCAGCGCCACCGCTACTGCCACATCACTCGCCCTCGCGCCTCTCTATACATCGATACATCCATACATGCTGCTCATAAACTCTTATTTGTTTGTATAATTCATACGAATAAATTACTTCGATTTGCATTACAATTTTAAAGAGACAATAAATTTCTCTTTAGGCGTTTTTGAAATGATATCAAAATTCAATATTATTACTTTTCGCAACGAATATATGAAGTTTTTGTTGATTAAAAGGCACAAATATGACATATAAACAAGTCTTGTAAAAAAATATTTTTAAACAACATTAATACAAAACTTAGTACATCGAGGGGAGTAGCTCTGTAATTTATGAAAATGTATATTTTATCCAATGGGCATTATTAATATTTCTGTAACAAACATAGGGAATTCGTATTAAATGTAACCAACCAAATAGACAAAAGGCAAAATTGTAATTAACACAAATTAAACACAATTGATTTTAAATGGATACATATTTACAAAATAAAAAATGGAAGGGAAATAAAAGGTTAAGAATTATATATTCGACATGAATAAACTGTACAAAACAATAGGTTATTTCAAAACACTTACCAAATCGGTGTCGGCGTTAACATTATTGGTTGGAGGTTCGGAATTATTACAAGCACTTGATGTGGAAGCTTCAACAGGGGCGTTGTTTTTGTTTTTCACGAGCTGTTCCGCGGATTTTATCTCGTCCAGTGTAACTCCCTGCGTCGAACGCCGCGTCTCGCGCACACGTTTTGCGTGTGCCTTTCTTTGGGTCTCACTTTCATCATCACGCACCGGCGGTACGAATGTCCTTAAAAATATTATTATACATTACAATTACATAAAAAATATAATTAATAAAAATCACACGTATCTCTCAAACGTAAACCATGCACACGTTGAAAACTTGTGAACACTAAAAATACAACGAAAATGCCATGCATATTTACGTCTATAATAAGGTTGGTGAGAATCGCAAAATATAAAGGGAACAGCAAACAATAAAATAAGCTCTACAAAAGAAACACACATATATTAACTTGAACACGGAACCACAAACAGTCTACTTCGGAAGATACCGAGATAAGTTATTATGAAGTTAAAAGAGAAACTAACAATAACGAAAAATTGTCTTAAAACATAAAATTCGACTATTTAAACTTTGTAAAACAAATAATGCCAATCATATTTACTTCTTTTTTTTAATCATTGCAAATCTATTTCAAAAACCATGAACCCTCGTAACACTACGAAAAAGATAACTGAACTTGACATAAATTAAGCTAATTTCTTTTAATCTGGATTAGTTTATATAATTGGATGATTTACAAAATGTTAAATGACAGTTTACAATTCTAGTGCAATGTATACGTTAAGAAGTGTTTTCGTGTTCAAGAAAATACAAATCAGCAATAGCGTAGGTACTTGAAGAAATTCTTGAATATGTTGCCGGGCGACAGTTTAGTTGGCGTTGTCGTACTCGGGGTCGATTCACTAGTGTTCGACTCAACGGTCTCGGTTGAACTGCCATACAACAACTAGTTAAAATCTAGTTATCATAAAAATGTATTCTAATTCCAAATTCTATGCTTAAAATAGTTATAATCTACTACATCTTGTAATAAGTATCCATCAATTTATTTGTAAATTAATGACATTAAAACAACGTTTTCCATTTGGTGTCAAAATAACTAGACAAATCGGGATGTAATTTTGGCAGGGTATTCAGAACGACTACCTATTTTAAGTCATACTCATTTTGTGCAACTACGAATCTTACTACACCAACATGCATCGAACTGTGTAGAAAATAGAATGCGTTTACACACTGATGTTCGTGAATTTATCATTAACTTTTTGAGTTCTATAAGTTGTCCTTAGTCTAAATAGATAGCATTTTTTTTAATACACTAATAATAAATCAACAAATTAAAGTTACTCAAAAGTAAATATATGGATAAAGATACTTTAAAAAATTCAAGTTCAATTTACCTCACATTATATTACTTTTACTATTATTAAAACTGGTTACTAATAACAGTAACACAACTTGAAATTTTATCTTACATTTTAAAACGAGTAGACACATATACCCCTACTTTTGAAAAACTATGAAAATTAAATAAACATTATCTTTATGGGGCATTTTAAGTATTAACAGAGTAAAGTACTTACTTCCTCCTGATCGTTACATAGGAGCTGTCGCTACGCGGGGAATTATAGATCGGCGTCGTATCACTCTTTTCCTTGTTGTTATTGCTATTGAAAAACAAAAATAAAAAAAACATTATTTATAATACTAAATCACAAATTTACTCAATATTTTGATACTAGTATCTAAATTTTGAACGTGTTTTGAAACATCGACAAGTCGCTTTCCAGAACACAAATTTAAATGTACTTTTGGGGTCGCGTAAAAGGATGTGAGGGAGAAAACTGCGTAGTGCTCAGCTCATGAAGAACCAACAAATAGACACAGACAATGACCAATCAGTAAATGTTTTTATTTACATTATCTATAACTATACATATAATAAAATTGTCTGTGTATCTGTTCGCAAGCCGCGTTGTTCCAGGTAATCTCCGAAACGGCTGGGTCGATTTTGAGGGACTTTCTCTAGAGGGTAAACGATATGCACGAGCTACTTGTTATTTTTTTCGCGCTGTCATAATGGCGACCGATTGCTATGGACGGGTGGATCAATTTTGACGGACTTTGACTGACCATTTTTTTAATTCGTCTCTAACAACTTTGAGGGCGACAGCTCGTTATAAAATAAACGATGATCAGAAAATGCACATTTATCAATGGATTGAGGATAAAGCAAAAGAGAGTACGTATTAACAAAAAAAAATACATGTCCATAAAAATTATATGTTAGTAAGTTATGTGTCATGTTTTGATTACTTTGTTAAAATAGATGTCGTACTGTGACCAATGAACTTGATTTACACAGACTACATATACAGTCCTCACTTATACAGTACATTTCATTTATAACACACTCCTGTTTCGATATTGTGAATACTTTCAATATATTTGTAAAAGTAAATTCTTATTATAGCGAATCAGCAAACTATAGTTACACAGAAAATATTTTACTTAAGCATCTTGGTTATGGTATAATGGTTTTTTTTTACAATAAAAGGGGGCAAACGAGCGGCAAGAATACCGAGTTGGTCAACGATGCCCATGGATGTACAGAGGAACACCAGGGGAAATACAGATGCGTTGACGACCTTTGAGAAAATGATAGGCTCGCTTATTGAAGGACCCTAAGTTGTATTAGTTTGGAAATACCGCCAAGGATAATTGTTTTTATTCACAAGATACATGACAGACAAATTAAAAAATTAGTTACTCCACTCTATGTAGGATTAGTGGACCAGGTTTTGATAATCCAGGTAGTTCGACCATTAGTCATTACATTCGCCACTGTTCCAATTATGTCACATGTCACGCAATTCTTCTTTACATTTGTAAATCTTTGCTCCTCACACCACTCTTCTTTACTGTCAATCTTATGATTAGTAGGTATTAGTACCTACCAAAGACTTTCAGATTATAATATCTAGATAGTACAGCCGGGAAAAATGACGGTGTTCCACCTTAGAAGCTACAATTGAAATGAGACGCGATACGAATTCATTACAACTAAGCTTATAAATATGTCTTTGCGATAAAAGTACTAAGTAGGATAGGGATACACGGCTGGTTTCTTATTATTATTATCGGTTTGTTTGCACCACTCACTGCTATCTAATTAGTTAGTGAGAGGCATAGTTTGTCTCGTTGCAACAAACAAGGTAATTTTTCCGGAAGTGGAACGCCGCGGATTTCCGCGATTGTACATCACGTAACATCGTATAATTATAACTGAAATACACTGTATTGAGTACTTAAGTGGAAACAATCAATATCTTTGGCCCCAGCATATCCCAATAAAATAGTAGCGCGGCACCTGTTTGGTTCTTCCTTGTTAGTATGGCCTGCTGGGCGGTTAATTTTGCATGTTTTCCTTTTAGCTTCGCCTGATGTAGAAGGTAGGCTAGACTGCGGCGCCATGGGCGGTATGGATGAGCACGATGATGCTTTAACGCGTTCGGCGACGGTGCGGTAACGCTGAGAGCTGTTCGCATACATATAACCACTTTACCCCAGAATTTCACTGCACTCACATTTGTATTATATCATATTGTCATCCCTTACATTCTCTTTGATTAAACAAAGACGACATTACGTATATACAAAAAAAGAATATTCTAACTAAATTTTCGAACATTCGACCAAAGATATCAAAACCTAAAGAAATACAGTTTGACCAAGTAGCTATTTTATTATCGTTGACCATTTTCTATATTGAACACGATATTAAAGATATCCAAAATATTATGAAGCATGACTTTTTTTACACAAAGGTAAGTTTTTCATTAAAGTTCTGAACCATGCATGCATGTAGTACTATTATTCTCCGAGCAGATCATGTGCCCAGAATAATAAATCTGTTAGTTGCGATACAATGCCAATTTATTACGGTGAGTGTTAATTCCATGTATTTTTACAAATATTAAAAGCGTTTACTCACGTTTTATCGGTTTCGAAACTGTGCGTTCGCCTTAGTGCCAATTGATTGTTGGCAGCTTGTTTTGCAAGCGATTCCCCTGTAATAGCATACAATATTATATTATTTGATGTCATATTTTTTATATCTAATATAAATATTTCGATACTATTACTGGCAGTTTGAAAATTACTTCATGAGCAATACTTGTCACTGCATAAATTAATCAATACAAGGGATCACATTCAGTTTATCAGAATCAAATCCTCCTAGTGTCCCATGATAATTGAGCATTCATTTAATTACTTCATGCACTACTTTACGACCCCACTACGAAGTCTTAAACGAATCTCAAACACATCGTAAACTCTGCTTGCAATTTGACATACATCAACACAAATGAAATTTGAAGTTCACGCGTGTTTGGCCTTTTAAAAAAACATTTACTTACACAAATTAAAGACAAATCATTTGACAAATCATTATTTCTATTACCAGACGAAGACAAACACAAATTTGTTATATTTTTCTTTTCTAACTAATTGATAACTATGTACCCATTTAATACCCATATTTCTTAGACAACACGGTATAATATACTATCGTTAGTAGTCATGCTAGTAGTTTCTATTTATATTTAATTAAAAATGAAAACTAATGTTCATATGCAAATAACTTTCACAACACAAAACCGCAGTCTCGCGCCTCAAAGAATTAGAAAGAATCAAATATCTATACCATTAAATTCGCTGATTTAATACACTTAAGTATATATTTCTAATAATATTGCATTGCGCACAAGTTCGTGTACACTGCAGTATTAACTGTTTGTAGAGAATGTTTTGATAATGCCTAACCGTTAGATTCCATCACCGCACAATACCAATTTCCTTTTTAGTAATTAACAATGTCCTTTCCATTGAAATTTTCTCCTGTTTACTTACGAATGTCTCGCATTCTAAAACGTCTGACACGCAAGCAAGGAGGGATGTGGATGTTTCTTTTTGTCCTCAAGCAATTGTAATATTTCGCTGTGTAGCAGTAATGAACAATGTCAATATGCGTGATAATGAACAATGAACTTTTCGATACCGAATTTTGATTCCGTTAATGTACTATATCGAATACAATGCGCAATATTTCTCACAAATGTTTTCAATGTCATTATTTAAATAAAGTTGTGAGAACACGAAAACATTTGTAAGAAATAGGTTAAGAAATGTGAAGTTATTTAATAAAAATTAATAATGATTATGAAAGAAAAGAAATTTCAAGCATTGATGTTTCCAAGCTGATTGATATTCATTAATATTATGCGAAAGTTAAGCATTATTTTAAGAAAACATGTAAATATATATGTATATATATATATATATATAACTTTACCGTTAACGTAGGTCGGCATTTGGTGCTCGCCAGTAGGATTTGGCTGAGGACGTTTAAAACTGCCGGTCCTTGCTCTTGTGTTGTCTACCATAAGCCCCTTACGACGCGCAGTCATCGCCGCTTCTTTCAGAAAAGTGGCGATTTTCGGGTCCACAATCTCCACGCAGGTTTGTCCCTGAAAATGCATACAATCAGCAATTAAAACTATGACAGAATTTAAAAATCAGTAATTGTGAACATAGTGGCTCAAGGTTTTAAGGACTTGACTATTAATCATGTTCGAATCAGGTTCGAATACCGCCATGTAACAATGTGTTTTTCGATTTTGTAATTTTATACGCACATAATTTACCCGACTTCTTACGTTAAAAGAAAACGTCGTGATCCCTCCACATATCAGCGAAATTCAAAGATATGTGTAAAGTGAAGCCGCAGTGGGTCAGCATGGTTGACTAGGGTTCAAAGGGTCCAAGGCTCAAAGGCCGTCAATGGGGTAGCATAATGAGCTGGTGATAATTATGAATTTAATTTAATGAGTGAAGTTATGTGATACATATTGTCATTAATATACATATTTTATAGATTAAGAAACTATATCGAATAAGAAGTATTTACTAACCGAATAATTCTTGATATCCAAGTTTGCACCTTTATTGATTAAAAGTGTAGCCACTTCTTTCTGCCCCCACAGTGCTGCAGCATGAAGAGGTGTCCACCCTTCATAATCTATGCAATTGACATCAACCTTGCAATTTTCGATAAGAGTTTTCGCCACCTGAAAAATTAGTTTTTTTTTTTATAACATAAGGTGGCAAACTCGGAAGCGGCCACCTGAATCCACCGAAATGGAAAGCGACCGCTGCACATAAACACCGCAATTGCAGATGCGATGCCTGCCCTTATCCGACAGAGGAGGAGACGCACATAAAGAGGATATTTCCCCTTCCTATTGCATCTCCTCCACCGTCAAATCCACTTCCCCTTTCCATCCTCTCCTTATATGAAAAGGGCGGTAAAGAGTAGGGATTTAAATTAAGCCTCCGGAACCACACTCATCAGACGAAACACGGAATTGCTTCCATTTGACGCCTGTCTTCTGTGTGGTCGTGGTATTACACCGGGTGTACTGGCCCATTCGTGCTAAGATGCTAAAGCGGGCACTTCTACTTCTTCGTATCTTCATTGCTGAAGGTCGTGCTTGCCCTGGAATCGGATGTCTGAATCCGATATTCGCGAAAAAGAAGGCGACGATACATAAGTAATAGGAATAATGCATTTTTAATCAGCTCAAGTATTTAGTTAAATTATCATCATCGATACGACATTAGTTGTAAGTTAGAGGTCGCATCGTAATTTTATTAACTTATATATGTCAAACAAGTCAAACTGATTGAGTAAAGCCAATCGAATCTGGCAAAATTATCGAGACAAGAGACTGATAGTAATCGTCAAATCACTTCGTTGCCATGTCACCGTCCTGTGTCATATCGTGAAGTCATGAAGTAAAATCATACTTACTTCTAAATATCCTTTAGCAGCGGCCACGTGCAAGGGAGTTCCTCCTGTTTTCGGGTCACGCACTTCAACATAGCCATTTTCTGCCCAATGTTTGGCGTCCGTCAACATGGCGGCTGACTCTGCTTTGCGGCATTTTTCACAATCAATCCCTTAAAAATAAATTAATAACCTGGTTTATTTTAAATACTAATATTACAAAGAGGAAAGATTTCCATTTTTGTATGTATTGTTATAATAATAAAAATTCTTTTGCCATTTTCAACATAGGCTATATTTTTCTTTATTTTTTAAATTCACGCAAGCGAAGTTGCAAGCGACAGCTAGTTTTAACCCTTAATTGAAACGGGTAGTAAATTGAATATAGATCAAGGGAAAGATAAAGAATTTTTTTTAAATAATCTACTGGGTGTGAAAGAGAAGACTGATGTATTAATGCATCATCGTGCATTTAAGGTTTAAACATTATACTATGTTTCAATCAGAAACATTCTTGTCCAGGGTGTGTTTAATATTCTTGATTTTTTGGTACATACTACTCTACTTTTTCAGATTGTAATAAAGAAAAACACAGAGACGAACGTATAACATCGTGATACCTTGCGACTCTATCGCCTGTCTAAGCAGTACACGCATACTTTCAGGAATATCCGCCAGGTCGATGGGCAATTCCCCATCATAATTTACAGCAGCCACGTCCGACCCGTTCTCGATCAGGTACCTGAAAAACAAAACATTGATTATGTAATTGCATTAAAAAAATCTTAAAGAGTATGTAAGTCATCGATGCAGTATATAATTTATAAGATTCTCTATCCCCTAATCCGTATTGCTAAGCTAGACTAGGATGACTATTTATTTGGTTAGGGCTCTATAAACACCACCACGGCGGCACCAGCGGGCGAGGCGGGGTACCTGAACCTGCATTTCACGGTTCCGTCTCAGTGGGGCGCCTTAGGGCGCAGCGTCCCGATTTATTGGAACGCATCGAGGGCTTCTTCCCGGGGCGGTCAGTGGGGCGTCGCGGTGGCAAGCGAAAGCGATCCTGTGGCGTCCCACATAATAGCCAGGGGGAACAGAGGGGTTTAGTCGGTATGTCCCATTATGGGGAGAGTCCCACATAGCCCGTGCCTGCCCCAAAGCAAGAGAAAAAAAAGGATAACTATGTATCACAATGTCCACATATACTAGTACAGTACCCACAGCAGATGGTGTTTGCACTGATTATCCCACTTACAGAAAAAAATGTCTTGTTCCTAGCAGCGAGATTAACACCGTCTCTCTTACAAGCTGTCCGATCATATTTTTAAAACTTTTATCACTATAAAATTCATTTTAATCAACAGAAAAATTCATGACCAACCACGATAATAAATATATGTTACTAATATAATAAATGCGAATACTTTAATGGATGTATTCCTGATATGTAACTCCAAATCTTTAATTACATGAAGTGTATCTACCATACATTTACTAAAAATCTACTGACTCCTAGAATCCCTCAGTAACAGCGTGGAGATATTAAGACTTATGTTTTTTCTGCAATTTCACGAATACGAAGCAACTACTTTGTAAGAGAATAATTGTCTAGTAAAATGTATAGCGGAGAATTGTAATTTCATCATTCTCTCATTCAGCTAACAGATGGTGCAACGATAATTTGTTTTAATAAATCACGGGTTATGTAAAATTACCGTTGCGATATATTAAAACAATTTCTTTACGCAATTCGATTTATCTTAAAGTTATGAATTTGAATACTGAATATTATTTGATAAGGAGCGCACTACGCTCGATGACCCACGGGCTGCCAATGGTCAAAAGAGCATGGTCATTTGGCTAAAACTAATAAAAATTACCACGTTGTAGTCTCATAGATACATAAATTTGTATAATACATATCACGCCGTATTTTTATAAGCGACTAGGTCCCACCAATATAAACCTGTTAATTTTTACATATCTGCTTTAACGAATAAAATAAAACAAAGATGTAATAATAGCGTTGTATGCCGTCTAGCGTGTTCTGCTCTGTCACGTAATAATTTTTGTTATTTGAAAGGTGAGCATTTGTTGTCTACAGTATATGAGTGTTACCAGATTTTGTATTAAAGAAAAGAACAAACAACACAGTAATAATTATAATATAAATTCGCTTGCAGAAATAGTTACCTCGCAATACTGTCGATTCCGCAAGACGCTGTGGCGTGTAAGGGGGTCCAGCCCTCGTTGTCGCGTCGGTTGACGTCAGCGCCGTGGCTGACGAGGAACTCCACCATGTCCATATTATCATCAATGCACGCCTGAAAAATTGTGCTTTAAAATAAATCACGGTCAACAATGCTTCAAAGAGGTGATTATCGTAGAAGAGTATTGGCATATCCTGCGCTTTGAGCTGATTGAGGAATTGTGAGTGAGTTTTGAGAAGAAATCCCCATGCTACCACGACTGCAAACCGAACCATAATTTTATGCTACTCTTATAACACAGAAATGTGGGTTAAAAGAAAATATTGGTACCATAACAAAAATGTTATGCTGTATCGGGCTTGTTGAAAGTAGGAGTAAAAGTTTAAAAAGATATACTTTGTTAATTGGAACGGTTAGTAATAATATATCAAATGAAATAAAAAAAAGCATTCGTTAATTAAGAGTTTTATTGACATCACTGACTGATTAACAATATTTATTAAGCAAGCCAGTTTAAATACACACATAGGAGCTCTGCAAACACAGTGGACATGTGTATTAATAATTTATGGAATAGCTTCGATCATTAAGATTAACCTCCTAAAAATGTATAAAAAGGAATTCAATTAACAAGTACCTAAACAAAAATAGGTATAAAGTATCCCGCTAAAACGCGCCAACAGGCGTTTACGCCAAATATCTCTAAAATACGTCACATATTTATAATTTATAATCTCAGAAGGCGCGCGCAAATCACTGTTACACAAGGTTTTATTCGCTTTGGCGCTTGCACACAGCTATCTCATTAACTTGGTTAATTTGGTTGGTAGCTAGTGGAAGATCGATTACGACTGAGGCTCATTGATTGGAGTTCACATTCACATGATAATGGCTAAGAATTAATGTAGTTTTAATGGAGTGTATTTAGTTTAAAACGAATCATATTGTTTTTAAAATATCATTAATGAATTATAAATACTATCTTCAGTTTATGCTCAGTTTTGAAGCATGAGTACACCCCCCCCCCCCATTAGCGAAATTCAAATGTAATTACTTTTTTTAATTTTACATATAAATAGGCCATCATATATTTTAATTCAATTGGAGTTCACTGTGATAGCCATAGACTTCCAATGAGACCTCATCCAATTCCAATTATAAATGCCAAAGTTTAGATGGATGAACGGATGTTAATTAGAAGGTACCTCCAGAACGGCTTAATGGATCTCCATGAAACTTGGCAATGACGGAGAACAAAGACTGAAAGAACACACCAGCTACTGACTGAATTAGATAGTTTAATCTGCACTGATGGAGGCGCGGACAAAAGCACATTTTGTTCATTAATTGTAGCCAAGAGACAGAAATTGGTGGACATGAGCTAAAGTAAAAAAAATTAAACAACATTGTGTCTTAAATAATAAATTAATAATTTCGCTTGGTCTTAATCGCTATCTCATTACAGTATTGAGATATATCAGTTATTCAGCGCGACAGTGAAAACATATGCAAAACTATTTAAACAATTATTGATATACAAACATAATAGATAAACTGCAGTAGCCTCAAGATGTTTTAAAGCAAATGATAGAATCAATCAATTGTTATAATATATTGTGAAGGTATATGAATTATAATAATTTTGAAAATAGTTCAACAAAAATGACAACTCTCACGCTCAGCTCTTCAATTTGAAAGGTGTGTGAATTGAACATTTCCATTGTCCAGAAAACCGCAGACGGAAGCGATAGAAGAAATTGAGGAAAGTGGTATTTATTATAATAGTTTCGTATCGCTTATAATTATTATTTGTTAAGAGTAAAACAGGACATATCTTAAAATAGAAATTTTAAATGTATATTGTATCACCTGTCTTCTCGTTTTCTCTTATTTTTTTACAAATTTCTATACCTTTGTCCTAGATGCATATAACGAAATTTTGGAATGGTGGTTTGAAGATGCTTGAGAGGCCTTTTGTACCTAAGATAGATTTCGACATAAAACAAAAAGGGTTTTGGTTCTTTATTTTCTATTATAACGCATTTCGCGCTCAGATACTTATTCAAAAAATTCGCTATTGCAACATGACACCTGCTTCAAATAAAAAATAAAAACAAATATAGAATTCTTTCTAGCTTTATGGCACATCAAAATTAATATTTCTACTCTGGTTACGAAGTAGAAAAGCATAGAAATCGACTATATTGTTTGGCCGAAACAAATCATATATTTATGACAAAGCCACCTGAGTACTGTGCTATGATGCGCATGGCAAGTTTTTACACGCTAAATTTACTAGCCTTATAAACTTATGACAAACTGTGGACGGAACATTTTATAACTATTAAGTTATTTTGATAATCCGGATAAAATATCGAAGCCGAATTGTGAATGTTTTTATATAGTATAATAACGACTGCCATTGACATCCACATTCCCAGATAAGTCGCCTATTTTTAATTAACATTGTGTACATATTATTCATTTTTCCGTTAAAGTTGACAGTAAAGACGAGTATGAATTCAGTGTACCGTAGGTTAAGTTACAATTGTCTCATTTATTAGAAACATATTATGTACTAGCTCTCAACGGCAACTCCGTCCGCGTGGAATTAAATAAATACAAAAATAAGTAGCCTATGTGTTCTTCCAGACTGTCCTCTTCATCTATACCAAATTACATCAAGATCCGTACAGCGGTTTGGGCTACAAACTCTAACAAACATCCGTCCATCCATCTAAACTTTCGCATTTATAATTTAAGTAAGAAGTAAGATATACATTAAAATAATGAATTGGTGCAATCGAAAAAGTAAAAGTAATTGTAAATTTTCCACATTTGAATACGCAAGTAAAATTATAAACTAACAATGTTAACAAGCAATATACACAAAACTACGTCACACATTCCCATTCATTATCAAAGCAGCCGGATACAGGCATTGCACTTTGTACGTAACACAACGGGCTCACAAAATAAGCACACTTTTCTATTCATTGTTGCCTACATTATTACCAAAATAAATTATACCTACGTAAAGTTTCATTGAATTTTTCATTTTATTATTTTCTGGGTGTTCCCTTGCGACTTCATCCGCAGAAACTTATGCAAATGTTATTTTATTGTTTATATGTGTCAAATAATCACTTGCAAATGTCAAAATAAGAATTACCTTACTATGGCAATTTTGCTTTCTAGATGTTGGCAGCAACTTATGGTCTCTTTTCCACATTAGGGTTATTATCCAAAATATGAACCCCCTTTTTTTGAATGGCGTAAAAATATATAGGCTAAAGCATGACGTAAGTGTAGGGCTTTTTATTACAAAAAGATTTATTAAAAAATATGCTGTAATTGCTGTTGGCAACAAAGAAGTGTGTGTTTACGCTTTATTATAATAGTATAGATATATCATCGCATGAATCAATATATCTTAAATATCCTATGCTATTTTATACATTCATTAAATAAGGTTACCATTAGTCGTTTTGATTTTTAAACTGTACCCGTATACCTAATTACAATCGCAAACGTACTCAGTTGTATTCAGGTGGACGTCCGCTACTTGGCTTTATCCAAACAAACTAAATATAGTGGTGCTAATTAATTAAAACAATTTCTCATCTTCGATATTTTCAAAGACTCGTATGTTATTGTTACAAAATGAAGTGTATTTTATTTTTCAAATGGATATGGTTTCTAAACTCATTGGTCCACAACACCTTTCTTTATGTCTATGTCAACAATAATACTAAAATAAAACACGGTTCGCGTGTGTGATCCCGATGTTCTCAATATCAACGAATCTCTGCTGTGTTTAACATGACCTCGAAAACTGTTGTCCGTTTATTTGTAAATTTATACGACGCTCATCATTCAGCAATACATCATTCCTCAGGCAAAATATTTAGGTCGGTCAATGACATCATCAAACTTCGAATTTAGGCAACGTGTTTATATGTTAGGACAATAATTGGGGCGTTCCCATTATGCCGGCTGTCAGTTACGACTTCTCTAAAAGCAGGTCACTGGAAAGCAGAAACGGTGAAAAATCTAATTTTTGACCAGGTGAATTCTATCGTCTTGATAGTCATCACATATAGATTACATTGTTACGTAGCAAAACATTAAAATAAAATTTAACTAAGATAGTAAAAAATCATCACTTACTACCTAATAACAAAAAAAAAACAATATAAACATACGTACGAAAAGTAATGGAACCAATTTCACGGTGTATCTAGTAAATTAATGATGAGATAAATATAGCTTAGTGTAAATTCATGTATAATACATAGTGCGGTATAGAGCGAAAGCAAAACGCATCCGTGATCAAAACCTGCCAAAACAAATGAAGTATTGCGAAAGCCCGTCCAGTGTTTACTTTGCTCGTATTATGATCAACAAATAGCATTCGAGTACGGAAAATATTAATACGTCAACAATTATAAATTCGAGCGATCATCATATCCCACTGCCACTAGTCATATTTAAATTCACGACCCGATTGCACGTATTACTGGTATAGGCGAATAGCATTAAGATAAATTTAAGGTTATATTCCAAGTTCTCTCTATATAAATTGTTAGTTTATTAATATGGCCTGGTATACATTTCATTGACTCATTAATAAGATAAAAGATAACCTAAATTTTCAGGACAATTAAAAACTTATTAAAACCTAAGAATTGCACCGAAAGCTATACATAATATGATATGATGTCTATATTTCTAGAGAAATCAATCTTAAAAAATACATTGTCAACATTTCGACCAACCACTAAAGCTATTCAGTACTTAGAAACAACAATGAGACCGTTTAAAAGCTATACAATCGTATTCGTGTTTATGGAACTGACAGTGTGTAATGTCAATATTATCTTAGGTAAAGCAATGGGGCATTCAATTCTTTCCTGCATTCATGAGAATATAATACACTAAGCGTTGATTCAGTGTATCAAGTTTAATCTAATAAGCAAACCTGAACCAGAACATTAAACTGTATTATAGATATATTATATACACGGAAACTAAATTATAGAAATACTTTTTTCTTTCTTACAATATGCTTAATAAAGTCCTAAAATGTATTATACCTACTGTAATTTGTGTTACATTGGTAGTATAGGGCATCCAAAGATAACGGTCGAGTCATATTAATTATCTTTATTGTGTCTCATTAATATTTCCTGCGAGCGGCAACATCGAGATTACTAGGGATTACTTGTCCCGAGGAGAGTATCCACTACATTTAAGGTACAAGTATATAAGACTAATTTACAGTAGTTGAAACTGTTTAAGTATACGATCAATATTTATGTTTTTAAATATTTTCGAAAACCTACATTATAACTAAATATCCATTATCATTTCAGACTATGGATTGATGTTGACGTTGATGTAAGGTAAAATGACTCGCCCTTCAAACAATAGATCAGGTTTCACGCCAGCTATTGCGAACGCTAGATCGATTAATCGCAAAATCCCTCGGAAATATATACAAATGTATGGCATGTAACCGACGAAGCGATGGTTAGTTTCCGTTACGGATAGCGCCGTAGACGTAGACAGTCAGGTTCTAATTCTGTACTAGTGACCGAACTGGCGAAATTCCCATGCAACCAAATTACAATTGCGCAACCCAAGAATTCAATGGCGGCATAAATATGACGAACTATTTTGCCTGAGACTTCGTTCACGTGAAATTAAAACAAAAGTTATCTTTTTGTAACATGTTTATCCATACATATAATAATTGGAGTGTATTAATCGTGCGGAGAAGCTTTGCTGATGGTCGCATGACGTCACGCTTTTACTGACAGCACCGAGAAGACGAGCGCAGGATGCACTCAGTGTGAGAGAGGAAGTTATCAGCAAAACTTTTATCTTTTTTTTAACGAAAAATCTTTCTGTCCGCAAATCCGAAGTCAGTTTAAATAATCAATAAAACGTCTACACCGATTATGACGGTACTTTTACTAGATTTTAGCACATTTGTGCGACTAAATTAGGCTATTTATTAATTTGCGCCAACAAAGTCGCGGGCTGCGTGCCCGCCTAGTTATGAATATAATTTCAAGATGCCTACGATATGTTCAAGTTTATACTACGTCCAAAATCTGTTTATGGTGGCCATTGCAGAGTTCTATGTCTATCATATGTTATATTTTGTTCAAAATAATTCAAGCATTTTAAGATCCCTTAATCACTCCTTTATAATTTTACTTTTACGATATATGGTTAGTTGATAGAGGCGATGCCATCACTTTTAGTTCTGTCAGAAAATATGTTAAACCCACTTGGGCATAAAAATAACATGGAAGAAAAATTATGACAACAGCTACAGTAAAAGAAGAATCTTGTGGAACTTTTTTAACATTGTCAACTGGGTCAAAGAAGTTTATTGGTCCAAATTTGCACATGTGGCAATGCCGATGTCAAAAGAATTGCAAAAGTTAAAATCTGCTAAGTGGTTTAGTGTTAAACTTGTTAAATACTCAGATTTGTAAAAACTGCACAGTCAAACTGTACAGTTAAGAGTAACATGTTGTGTCAAAACTGAAAAGTGAGAATTTTAACTGACCGTTAACATGTTACCGTGACATGTAAGTTCACCTGTCAAAAGTTGATTGTGTGTGGCCAGCTTTATATAACAGGCAAACATAAGAACATCAGATAAATCTACAAATGATATTCAATTTACTCACATATATCTTTATTTTGTATAAAACATATTTTATATTTGTATAAAAATAAAAAAAAAGTTACATATAGAATAGAGCACCACCGGTCATGGAATCCGATGTTTCAAGGAACAAAGACAGGAACCTCATCACAATGTGTACAGTTTCTAAAATACTTGCCTTTGGAATCAGGCCCTTAATTCAAGAATTTAGCGAGAGCTTGTTGAGATTTTGGTCAAAGCTTTTAGTTATTAGCCAGTGCACGGAAAGGACTACGGGAACAATGGCAGTCGATTTCATACGCCACATGGCACTAACCTCGTGAGCCAGATCTAAAAATTTAATAGTTAATATTCAATGAATTATTAACCATGCCCCTTCAGATTGTCACATACTTAGTCAATATGATACTGACACAATCATAGTCATCTTAAACCCCCCCACCCTTATCCTACTCTGGTAAGGTATGTAGGCAAGTCAGGAACTGCTACAGAGTACATCCAATAGCATATTTTTGTGGTGTCGGGGGGGGGGGAATCTTCGAAAGTTACCTTGCCTTCTGGGGGGAAGGAAGGGTTATGTAAGATTTGACCCACTAAAACCCCCACTATGTCCATTCTCTAGTGACATAGTCGAAGGTTCTGGGATCTCCAAGGAACACATCGGAATCTTCAGCACTCAAACATCCAATAGCTTATACTGAATAACATCTATAAACATGAAAACTAACATAAAATAAACATGGCTTGATTTCGTCTACACTACTTAATTTAATTATTGTAATAACTAGTTGTAAAGGCCTTGTACAACATGTGAACCTTTTTTCTATAAATAACTAATTATTACTTCAATACTAATATCATAAAGACAGTAGATTTGTATGTACTGAGTAAATTCAAAAACTTTTTTGACATTATAAAGCTAAATTATCCCTGAATAGTAAGGGTTATATTACTATTTTTTTTCTCCCCAAAGATAGAGTACAAAAGAGAAGCCTAGTACAAACGTAAAAATATCTATGTAAGATTAGGCAGCATTCATTATTTTTCAAGCACAAATGAGCCATCCCCACATATCAAATTTGGAAGCAATAAAAAATAACAAATTCAATAACAAGCAAAAAACCTATAAACCTTACTAATTATGACACTCTGGATGTAAATATATGGTCCTACAAGATTTTTTTGGCAGCCGGCAAATTTTATGAAATGAGAAGTGAGATTTAATGTCGGAGTATTAGCCTTAGCTTGTCAATTCACTTCGCGTCACTACTTTCAAAATTTTGTGTGGTTCTTTAATGTTGATCCATGAAAAAAGCGATGAGAGTGTTTAACACGACAGTGGGAAATATTGTTATCGCAGAAAAGAAGTTGGAGGGTAATTATATATTAAAATATGAATCATCTTGTGTCTGTTGTAACGAAAATGTGATACCATTTGTTAACTTAAGATTTTCCCTATTCCCAAGTGGATGCATGTGTAATATGTTGAGTTTTGTAATTTAAAACCATATACCTTGGCGGATACCACACAGTTTGTACCATGCATTGATTGTAAACAACAAACAATCAATGATTTTAATTTTTCTCTAGTTAAGCACTGAGTAAGACAATTTCTATTATGTGAAGGCTATTCCTTACCTTACTACCTACAGAGACAGCATTGCTAAAAGTTTGCAACAAAAGTTCTTTAACTATAGAGTATTCTCCCTGACAAACAAAGTCTGGGGCACTTCCTATGTTACTAGTAGGGTACAAGTTCTTCCGGTACAATTTACTTTTTTGTTTTTAAAAGGAAAGAATTTCTTTTAATGTGGACATATTACCTTGCTACTAACACTAAATGCCCAGAGGCGCCATTCTGTCAATGTCAAAAAGGTGCCACAATATCCTGGCGGGACTAAAAACATCATTCCTCTCTAGTCAATAAGTCAAAATAAGAAAAGGAAATATGTTAAGTTAAATTTCTTAAATAGAGGGTAGATGTAGAATGTTTCTGAATTTGGACTTTCATAGACTTAACCAATATTGTATTTTAATTCAAACATATTTTTTGAAATACCCACCAACAAAATAACAGAATTATGAACAATCCTTCTAACCTATGTCCATTAATATACGCAATTGATTTACTTTAACTTATATCCAAAGTAAACACAAAGCAACAGAAGAACCTGTTTTAATAAATAGGTTACAATTATATCAAGTAATTTTCTTACACCATACCATTGATTTCAACAACAAAATTCAAGACATACTTTGAGACACTGCACCACATGTTGTAGTTGAAACGACAACCATAACTAAATTATAGAAATCAAGGGAAATTCAAAACCAACTGCTTTTAATCCAACTGAGATATTATTTAAGACAATTATAAAATTATTTACAATGTATATCTAAAAACAACCTTTGAATGAAATTGTTATTACAATAATGATTTATTTAAATTTGTGATAAGAAATTATTACTTTAACATAGTAAAGTTTTATTTTTTAAAAGTACCCGACAAAGATTTTTTTTAACTAATAGAAGTGTGTGTTAGGTAGACATTGAATAGTTTTGTTTGACAGTATGACTATGTAGATCTAAAGCAATGTTGGAGTCTTTTTTATAATACTTTTTACCTTCTAAGTGAGGCGCTACAAACACTGTCTTCTTTCTATATATTTTCTAATATTAATACATTTTTCTATGCATTTTGCTGCATATGTTAAAGTAATTGCAAAAAGAATGTGACACACTAGTTATTTCTACCATACAAAGACTAGTAGTAATGGTACTCACTTGATGCAAGGCCGTAAGGCCGTCGACATTTGGTGTATTGATATCAGCGCCCATATTCAAAAGTCTCTGGATCTCATCTTTGTCTCCAGCCTTACATGCTGCTAGAAACACTGTTCCAGTAGAAAATTGTATTCTCGCCGCGTGTCTCGGATTAGGTGACTGCTTAAAAGTTTCCGACTCTTTCCATTTCTGTAACTGTTCGGCTCGTTTGAACAGAGCTGAAGAAGACCTTGAATCCATATTTATATCAGTAAACACTTGACACACAATAATACACAGATTTAGTTTTAAACGTAATGTACAAAAGCCTTTTTAAATGTATTTCATAAACGCCGAGTCCACATATACTAGCGAAAAGGTTCAAAAGACTCGTTTTAAGCAGATTTCTACGAAAACCGTTTACACACGCACATTGTTCGAAACAAACGATGAATTACTAAAAGAACACAGTTTTGATCATATAACCAATACACTACGGGTTGAGCGTGGCAGCCATTACGAGAATAACTTCAAGAATAAGTAAGTCAACTGCACCAACAGTGACGGAAGGAATGGTAAAACCACAGATTATGGATATCTAAAATTCTGTCAGACAACTGTCAAATTCACTTTCCTGGCATTGTTGCCAGGGTAAAAATATTTTATTTAAATTTTTCTGACACAAGGAAAAACGTGGACACAAACTTAAGATAACAATAGTGAAAAGCTCTTAATATCGATATCGATAAATTTCGGGGTGGTTGGGTAACCCTTCTTTTTACATTGTGATATTTAAAAGAAACTTTACATTTAAGCTCAACATAAAATGATCTGTAATCTTATTTTTATTTACAGACATTGAACCTAAATGTACTAAGGCAGGGTGAAACGGGTGTAACAAAGAGGACGTTAGTCATGAGTGTGGAAGGGTACTCCGGTTGAGGTAGACCTTGAAAGACATTGGTATTTATAGTTCGTCTAAATAAGGGTAATTAGTTTGACAATCCATTTTACAATTTAGTAAGAATGGGTTGTGTAAGATCTGATATAAATCATAGTTAAACTTTATGGATTAAATAAAAATAAAAGAAACTGTTTTTTTTTTTTCATTTGGTTATTCGAGCATGCGTTTCGTTATCGCTGAGAAGTTGGGGGATTCAGTAATTACATGTGAATGTATGAATCATCTTATGTCTGTTTTAACAATATGTGTTACCATTTGTTAATTCAAGGAATTCCCTTATATAACTTTTTTAATTAAAAAATTGTTAAACACATACTAAATGACTTAAAAATATTTTTCTGAAAGTTGTTTTATTACCTTTTCAAATTGTAGTGACAGAACCCTTAATTGTAACGTGTTTTGTGCAACTGGATGTTTGGCCTTCGTGATATAAATTACATATTTACTTGTGTAAGAAGGAAATTACTATGTGTACTCAGTAATTTATTAAAAACTAATTGTCTTATAATTTTAAAACGCACAGTTCAAACCATGGGGCATACCACATAGTGTGTGATATGCGTTGATTGTTAGCAAAAACAATAATTAAGATTTCTATAATTCTGTAGATGAGTGTTAAGTAAGACAAATTCTATTATATTAAAACTATTCTTTCTTTACTGTCTAAAGCGAGTGCATTGCTAAAAGTTTGCTACAAAAGTTTTTTAACTATAAAGTCTTCTAACCGACGAACGAAGTCTGGGGCATTTCCTAGTTACACTGTAAAGTACAAGTACCAGAGATGTGTAAAATACCCTGAACGCAGTATTTGAAATACAAAATACTTTTAAATAAAGTATTTTAGATACCAGATACAAAATACTTTCGAGAATAGTATCTGAAATACAAGAAACAAAATACATATCTTACGAATATTTTTCTCGTTTTCCAAAGGACAGAAATTCCATTTGATTTGGATATATCACCTTGCTGGTAACACTAAATGCTCAAAGGCGCCCTCCTGTCAATGTCAAAAAGGTGCCATAGTATCTTGAGGCACTATAGGGCTACAGAAAGACATACAAACGGAACCATAGACTGCATATTCAAAAATGTGATATTAAACACGTTGATGTGCTTACATAAGGCTAAAAGAGATTATAAAATGTCATTAAAATATATTAATTTTTATTTTTCACTGCAGTTTAGATTTTTTTTTGAAAAAAATGTCAAATAATATTTTGTAATTGAAAACAGTAACTAAAACTAGTCTAGTAAGCGCGTTGCGTCCTCTGGTGGTTAAGTGAGACATTGTTAGTTCAGTGTTCGAGTAGAGTCGGTCAGAAAGAGTTGAAAATTCAAGATGGCTATGTGTCACGATGGTGTCTTGGATTGTTGTCGTTAAGTTTATTTATTTTGTGTGAAAATAGTGTTTTATCATAATGGCTGACTTAAGTGTAGATATAACCAAGTTGCCGGACGAAATAAGAGATAAACTAGCTGAGTTGGACTTGGAGTTATCTGAAGGTAGGGCAAACGGTGCAAGTCGTATAAGAGATCGATATTATTTCTATTTTCTTTAGTTTTAAAAGTTACATTAAGTGTCTAAAGTTGTACACGCAAACGTAATGTACGTTTACGTATTATAAAAATAATGTTAATTTATATTTTCTTATATTAGACATAACATTGAACATTTATAAATGTTATAATAATGGTAGAAGCACTGATTATGAGAAAAATTAACAGTGCTTTTAAATCATAGTTTGCTTATCTTACAATTAAAATATTAAGTATTTAATTGCTATTGGTATTATGTTGGTCTCTCAAACAAATTAAAATAAATATGGTAAAACATATATTTAACTAAGTAACTTGGTATATTACATAGACTGATAGTTTGTATGCTCTGCGTTGTTTAAATTATGTTGTTTTAAATATTTCACTGCTACATATATTTCAGCTTTTAATCACTTACAATATTTAGAGTTTTAAAAATAACTTAAAACAATAAGACCTACATTTTTTAAATTAATAGAGAAAATTAAAATGTACTTCTTAAGTTAATTTTTGTAGTTGTAATGTGTATTAAGAGCCTTTAATAATTGATACTTAAACATCATTTACCTTAAATATTACCCAACATTAGATTGTAATCATTAATTTACACATTTAGGATACTTCTTTAACAAGTAATAAAAATTGAACATTTAGTTATTTCACATTTTTAGTAGCATCTTTTTGTGTGCAAAAAATCCCTTTAAAGGTCTTTTGTACCATGCTGAAACAGAAATCTTATTATATCTTATTGTCAATTTCTTAAAACATTCCGCTTATACCCTTAACTCAAGGGGGATAAGCAGACTTTTATATCTTCAGGAATTCTAAATTATTCTTTATAACACCATCTATGGAATGTACTGTTGAGATTTCAAAAAAAAATCCTTAGTTTTAATACTTATTTGAACTAACAAAGCATTGCATGCAAAGCGAAATTGGTAGGTCCATTTAAGTATAATATATACTAATATATTATAAAAGTATTTAGCATATGCGAAAGAAGATATGCATCAATCAGCTGTGAGTTTCACCAGTTTCTTTACATGTTATAACAATACTAAAAAGATATTAAAAACGAACGAAAGACAATTGAAACTTGTGTTAAAGAAAATAAAATACGAGGTGTAGTCGAATTTTGAGGCTCTAGATTTTTGTTAGGATATGGTCCACAATAACAGTTGTATGACGTCCATACCAAATGCTTAAAGTAAATTCGAATACATGACAATATAATAACTTGTGAGTATTAATAAACACACGTTAAATATATAAAATTAATCTAACGTCAACATCGCATGTACAGTCGATGAATTTTGCGGTGTTCGAAAGATCGCCATACACAGATCTCAGTTGGAGTATATGCCGCTCAAATAACAAGTATAGGTTTTTTAAGACCGCAACAGACGTTCAGTTTTAACTAAGCAATCGAATTGTTAAGATAAAACTTTGTATATGCATAAATTTAACCGTCACTTGAACCGTTTACTTCAAATTTCACCTAAGACGCACAGATAAAAACATTAAACTGTCAGAAATGAGTGTGTGTAGCTGGGTTTATAATGTAGTAGGCAGAAATTCTCATATTTAAATTTTTGACTTAATGTACTATTGTTAACTTTACTTTCAATTCTCTATCATTATTAACATGGCTTAACGCCCCAACGTATAATACATAACTTTTTATGTCAGGTAGATAGATTTACAAGTCGAGTCAGTTTACCAGCGCACTTAAGCCATTTTATTGGGAAAGCATGACGCATCAACACAAACCCGTTCGTCGCCGTGGCAGTCTGACTAAGCCCGTCGCTGTAGAATCAATGGCCTCAATTGCGCCTCTAAAAATATTAATTGAGTCCTTTAATACTGAATGTACTAATATCACGGGCACAAATGTCCACTTAGGCGTCATCATAAAGTACTATAAAATGAAAAACTAATTTTTATTCATGTATATATTGTAATATTTCTATTAACTTTTTAAAGATCCTTATTTTTAAAATTGAATGTATTTCTCCAGGTCCAAACACGGAAGTTAACCTGACAAGTCCAAAACTAACTAAACTGTATAAGTTTCTGGTAGTCGTTGATCATCGCACCAAGTCAGACAACATACATATTTATTTTTCATATGAAGCAACAATCGTATTGGTAATGCATGTTCAAATATTTTGTCATGGTCGTTACCGAAGCCGACGTGGCAAGCGCGTCGTCCCAGATGTCGCAGCAGATGATGCTCAGGCAGCTGCAACGGATTGCTACGCTGGAATATTGACTATATCCATATCCATATTCGTGGGGTTCGTAAAACAACCGCCCGAAGACAAGCTCTACAAACGATGATATGCAGGGTCTGATGGTAACCGCATTCGCTGTCGCATAGGGGGATTGAAAACGATTTTTTTTATTAATAGCTCACAAGGTCGGTCTGAATTGGCTCATCATAGTGCCTAAAGGCGGTTACATTGTGAATTAAAATATGAACAACTAGCTGTTGCCCGCGACTTCGTCCGCGTGGTATCGGTAGTCGTCCGCGTATTCTAAAACATACGGACTATATAAATAACAAAAAGCTACGTATCCCTTAACCTTATACCATGTGTACTCAAGACTTTGTTTTATATCTGTACCAAATTTCAATAAGATATGTTGAACCGTTGCACAATGATCGAGTAAACATTAAAAAACTAAATTAATGATTCCCACGGGAACCGTAACTATTCCCTATGTAGCCTATGTGTTCTTCCAGACTATGCTCTACATCTGGTCACATTTAATGGAGATGCGTTCAGCCGTTTAGGCTACAAACGCTAACAAAGATCCATCTACCCATCGTAACTTTCGCATTTATAATGTTTATATTCTATGATATACTTCAAACTTACAAATAAATCAAATAATTTATTCGTTGCCGAAGCCAAATCAATGTTGTCTTTCAAGTTTTTCGACTAATGTGTCTGATACTATTGTAACTAAAATTTATTCGTCTCGCTTAAATTTGTCTTGAAACAATATTTCCCAGTTTCATTTTCGCAACTTTACACCAGCAACCTGTAAAGTCAAGTCAACAGTCAACAGGATTAGCGTAGCTCAAATTACTTGGTGCTGTAGTAAACTCCGCCCAGTTCTTGATACCTTTGACTAGGTATGCAAGTCTCAATTGCGAACTGAGTACATTATTAACTTTCCATACTCCTGAAATAGACGAATAAAATTCTCCATTCTGTCTTTTGAAGCTTGTGAAGCATATCCGAAAGTTTCATTACTCACCTGCCACGCGATAGCGAGATTCAATTTACAGATGACGGGAGAAAAGAGCTCTGCAATAATCCCTTTGAACCCCGAGCGTGGAACTTCTAAGCGTTTTTTTACCTGTGCCGTCTACTGCAGTGTGTTTATGCCGCGCCTTTGCATTGCATAAACCCGTCAATACTTCACAATTTCGCTGGTGTTTATATTTCACTCTAGTACTTGCGATGGTTTTGACCATTACCTTTTTTTCTCCTACAACGCCGAAACTCTCAAATTTTGTTTTACTATTTTAGTAAGTTTATTTTAACCATATCAGTAACACAGAAAACTAAATTATAACCGTGATTAAAAAATAGAACTTTGAATAAACTCAATTGATTTTATATTAAGTTTATCTTGGGTTTTTTATGAATTCAGTTATTTAATAGGTATAAGTTGGGTTTGTAAACGAGTAATATTTGGCTCTCCTTACATACGATAAAGTAGTTTTAGTCTTTAGTGAAAGAACAATTCCAGAGTGCACAAAATACAAACATGTGAATTGTCTCAGCAAGAGAATATCATAAATTTAAAAGAAACAAGTTTTTGCGGTACCTCCTACTAAATTTGTCTTATATCAATAATGTTATTACATAAAAAAACCAACTTTTATGTTTGTGAGCAATCATAAATTTAATTTAAATTAAAAATTCGAATAGGATTTTTATTTTCATGTTAGGATTACAAAGGGAAGTTGAGTTTCTTTTTACTCAGTAGACGGTATTGGCTTGCGCTTTCAAACAATTTGATTTCCCTTTATGAATGTTTGAAAGCTTTGTTCGAGAGACCTTTGACGTTACGCAGGTTCTATATCAGGTGTTCCGACTCGTATATTTGTAATAACTTATGTAGCAAATATTAAAATTATACGGCGAAAATGACAGGTGTTTTTTTTTTGTCTTTATGCTAAACTATTGTGATCGGAATTGAATTGAGAAGGATATGCTTCGTTTGGTATGCACTCATGCGCATGATTTGGTACAAATACTACTAACTCTATTCAAAACGAGGAAAAATAATATTACCAATAAAGTAACTTTTCCCAAGGAAAATCAGAATCACCAAGGGAAATATGTTTTTCCGTCCAAATATGACGTTAAGGGCCTTCAAGAAAAGAGTGATAAGGTATTTATCTGGGTAGTGCGTCCCTTCTTTCGACCACATCTTCACTCTCAGGTGGTCAAGCGCTAGCTAATAAAACAAAAAAAAATAGTTTACTATACAAGCCGAATGAATTCATTCAAGTTTTGGGAAAAAAACTATTTTGAGGACTCGTATAAAATAAGATCACGTTATTCATAAAATTTTGTGTTTCCTATTAAATTCATTTGCTACCAAATTATATATTTAAAACATAACTCTGGTGACAATTTTTTTATCTAAAGTATTGTTTATTGGGATCGCTTTTTACTCATAGAAATTGCTATCTTCTTATCTGAGAAATGACGTGGTTCTGAGCTAAGCATTCAACATAATAATAGTATTTACACAACCTTTTTGTTATATTTTACAAAAGAAACAATCACAATTATTGTCATCCGAATAAACTTTAGACAAAGAGTCGAATTGTTTTATTTTCAAATTAAATAATTTTCGAACAATTTTATCGAGCAATATCTGGTAAAAAATCTTAACTTCTTTGGTCACTAGGACCTAGTCACATCGATTAGAAATGTATTTTTGATCTTTGGCTATTCTTTGGAAACTTAATTTCAGTTCTATTATTACACAACACAAATGTATGTAAGTGTCACCTTTTCTGAGTAATAAATATAATCTTATCTCTATCGTTTATCAATATACAATATTTTTATATTACTAAGACACCACGAAGATATGTAATATTATATTTACCCCATCTATATATAATACTGTTTGTCCAAATTTTTACTTACAATAACGTAAATGTATCATTAAAATAATTTGCAACGACCTTAAGTTGAAAAATATTAGAATGTATTTACGCAGTTTTTTTTTGTTTTTCATTAAATTTGTCTGCCTCAAATCATTCAAGGGTAGATATATCATCTCTTTCTTACTCTCAAAGCTTTATTCTCATTAAAATAGGGATATAGCGTTGGGCGGTCAGCTAGCGACTGCATATAATAAGGCTATCGGATAAATCGGAAGTCAGTTTTAAAATTCAAGTCAAACGTCCTCGAACAATGCCTTACTTATCAGGACTTCTGCGACTATGTATTGCATTACATGCGCTGATTGTTCGCTTGTATGCACCGTTTCACTGTCATGCACCTGCCAATTAAGTGGGAAATATTATGGTGTGACAAGACCGTCGTAATATAAGCAAACGTTTTTACAAAAAAGAAAACTGGTTGCTAAACAATATATTCTAAAGAGCATTAAGCATTCGACATTTTTTATTACGATTTCTCACCAATAGATTTCATCATCATTATTAACAGGGCTTTTGGAGATAATGTTTTGTTGAGCCATGTGCGTTTATTACTGTGTGTCGGATTGAGAGCTCCCCACCACCGGCGCAAGTGATATCTGCGGGTTTATGCAACTCGTTGTTTATCATTGATGTATTTGTTTATGTAACTGTGTTATAATCATATTACATTAATTGACATGTTTATCCATAAAACATTTGATTTTTGTTAATAGAGGCAACTCAATTTTTTTATAACATTTTAACTACACACGATAAACTAAACCCTATTAAATTGCTAATATGATAATCCGTATATTCTTATTTTAATGCAAACCCGGCCATTGAGTATTTATTTTATCTAGCAAACATGATCAAGGAGAGCTAATGTAATATTTTTTGTTGTACGTTTGTATTTAACATGTTTCTCACAAAGCGTTATAATACATAGTTATTTACAAGGCTAGCACGAACTCGACGTGAATGTTCGTAGTGTGAATTAATTATGACTTGATATATTTTTAGCGTAACACATTCTATGTTTGTTTTGTATGAATTGTTATGTAAATTATAGTCTAATTCTTTTCGGCGCACTGGTGTGTACGTTACACTTTTGACTCATCACTCGGATCGTTTGACGAAGTCGGGTAGAGATAGAAACCGCTATTTGTAGTCGGTGGCAGGGTTGCCGTAAGACGGCAATAAACATGAGGTGCCTTACTCGCTTCCAACGATCACTATAAGGGAAAAGTGTGATATAATAGTAACGTAATGTTTCACAAATAAAAAAAATTGTTTTAGGTACTAAAAGACTATTTACATAAAACTAACAACATCTATCAATCAAAAACATACTTTGTAAGCAGATAAATATCATCGGGAATATTAATCTAGCTTTCGTCTATATGAGCTAAAACTTTTATGTGTTTAACGTATTTTCTCATTTAGTCCGTTGCAATATTTAAATGCAAAAGTACGTCACAAACTACCATTTGCCTGTTTTGCGACTACTGAAACTCAAAGGGCGCTTCGTAATAAACGTTGACGTTGGCTAAATTTGCCTGCTTCACAACACTTTAAAGAATTATTAAAATGAAAGTCGCAATTCAAGCGTCTTACATAACGGAGCTTTTTGTTGACTTCTGCTTCTTTTTTTATTACCAAATTCTAGCGTCCACTAACAACTTATTTATTGTACTACACTAGCAAATTTATCCTAGTTTTCTTTTTTAACTGCCTGATGGATTTCTAGTATTTAAAAGGCTAAGCGGTTAAAATTTAGTATCAATTCTGATGTATACTTACATTAATCACTGCGAACTGGAATTGCTTATAAAACTTTGGTATTATGTTTTTTACAAATTATATTCACCAATGGTCTCTTTATTTCCCAGGTGACATAACACAGAAAGGCTATGAAAAGAAGCGCGCTCGTCTTCTTACCCCATACATCGCTCAACAACAGCCTCAAGGTAAGCCCTTATACACATGAGTAGTACAAACAAGCAATTGCTACTAACTTTATGTTGGCTCAACTAATTATCAATTAAAAGGAACTTCGTGACGCGCGAGTACTGGCTTTTCAATCCCGTTCTAATTTTTCCAACTTAATTTATTACGTCACACGACAATTTGTGTGATCCAGCACCAGAACTAGTACTTGCGAGTCCAAGGACGCGATGGAAGCGTCGCCGGGGTCAAGTGTCAATTGATCGTCGTCGATGGAAGCTGGGCAGTCGCGAAATTATCATGCAATGGCACCATTCGGCTCGGTCCAACAACAAGGGTCAAGCGGAGGGGCCATCTTGTCTCCGGACCTCGAATAGACGAATTTGGAACGTTAGCTCAGTGGTTTAGGTTCATTATTAAATGATATATTTGTAATTTCAGCTCAAATCAACTCGTGGCGATAATTTTTTATGCTATCAATATTGAGTTGCAACTTAAAATGTCAGTTTTAGGAAAATACAATCTCAGCTAACGTTTCATGTCCGCTGACGAGAGTTATTGAATTAATGAGGTCGGCCTTCATTTGGACGCGTAAAAAACTGGCGATTTAATCTAAACAATTTACAATAACTTTGTCCAGCACCCGTCGACTGTCATTTTATTTACGGTTCATTCGTATTTGTATATTTTATTTTATGATTTCTAGTTACTACATAATTGTGTATTTTGGTTTAGTTAGTTGGTGATCCACACGCACGTCAACCACACTTTATCATCATGGTACGATACTGTCGCATTGGCACGTAATTTCACTAGTTACATGGCACTATCAGAGCGAAACAGCTTTTTTTGCTTGCGGTGCAGCTGTACTCAAGTTGTTCCTGTAATAATATCCTTGGCCCGAGGTGAAACGTGATGATGTTTTCATATAGTAAAATGAGATAAACAAACGCGTGCGAAAAGAATTATACATTTTGTTTCAATCATCCCTCGTATCAAGTGCATGAACCATTGCGAGCCGCTTTTTACATCTCTCACAATTTATTGTATCTTCATAAAAGAACCATGCTAAATTCGCTAAAAGGAAGCTTCTAATGAACTTTTTTAATTTGCAAAAGTTATTTTTTTTAATAACCTAGTATCCTCTGACACCAAAGATAGATACAAGAGGCATTAAAATGTGAATGAATAAAATGCAAAACAACATATAATTGGCTAGACTTGATAAGTTAATCGGCAGTTAAATCACTTCGCGGTAACAGAACTGGCCGAACGGACGCAGTCGTAAGTGATGTGCATCGGTTAGTATCGGTCGTTTCTCATGGCCCCCGGCTTTTACTATATAAGCGGAGCGTTTTGCAGTATACAAATATTGTTCAAGTTATGCAAAATTAGATTAATCGCGAAGGTTATTTCGATTATTATTTTTAACGTACAAATCGTCTTAATCATCGACATCTTTACTTTTATATCATTAACAAAATAAAAGTGTTCAATATTCCGCTGTCTCTCACACAATATCCGCTACATTAATTTAGCCTTGCCCATTGTTTCGGAACAATACGCATGTTATATTTTTATACCGACAAACAACATGTCTACACAGTATGTACATTTTTGGAAGCAAACATCAAACTGTTTAAATATTATCTTAACAACCTCCCTAAAAACAAAATGAGATTCTTTAGATCTATAGAATGGCGAAAAAAAAACCGATTAAAACATCCTTAAATCGGTACATCAAATTAATTCTGACTATTCATGTTACTGATTATTCAAAAAAGTTTAAAAACTTGAACGTTGGGGCTTTAAATTTAACAAAAGCGTATGACACAAATTCGTTTAGCTCTTTTAGGGTGTAGCGTCTCAGGTCGAACGTTTTCGGGACTGCATTGCGCCACTGATATTGTCCTCACCTCGGTCCTTATCAACGGCAAAGGTCAATGAACCTGTCTGATAACTACGCACTGCGTTACTACAAGCGAAAGCATGGTTTAAGCGGCAAATCAAATCTCTATAACTTTTACACTTGCATTAATTTATATTTATTATGTATTCTTATAAAATAATAAGTATCGATTAGATTTTAAATTTCTGATTTTTGTTTACCGTGTGTTTATTTTCATCGATTTGCTTTATTGAAAGACATTTGACCCATGTGTATACGCTGAATGTTTGGTTCAGCTTTAATATTTAGTTAGCGATATAGATGTTTTGGGTTTTGTCGATACTGGTAAGCATACATGGCGGTATGTTGTGCAGCAGGCATTCAGGCAGTGCGAGGACCGCGCGGCGACGGCGGCGGCAGTCGACAGCTCACTAGGAACCGACGAACCCATCGCCGCGTCACTCACAATGAGAAGCGATACCACTCAGGTATCTTAAATGGCTAAGCGATTGGTAGCTGCCACTATATACACACTACAAATACTCAAATCATTTTATTCACAAATATCTACATGCCTTCACACCAAAGAAATTTTAACATAAGCAGATGAATCGTCAAATCATAGTGCAAGCATAGAGTTTTATATATTTTTTGGACAAAAAAATCACTGGCACCTTCAAAATACCTCTGCAAAATAAAAGTAAACTTCTTTAGTTCCGTTCATTTCGGTACAGTTTATCTAATCATAAAGATGAGATCATAGCTTTAAGTCGTTTGTACATTGTATCGTATTTACGAAGCATAAACAATAACGTAAATCATCAGCATTTTAATAACCGCTCGTGCAATCCACGTTGCGTGTCTAGATGTATTTAAAAATATTTAACTTGACGCGCAAGACGCCAGTGCGGTAGAGCTCCCACTCTGTTGCGAGATTACAACATCTATAAAAAGAAAACGTCAGTTCTACAGAGAATTCGGAACCACTGCCTGTATCGATTCGTTTCTTTCAATACCGTCTAGCTTGTGTACGATGAAACGGAATCGTTACGACACTACTGCGCAATTTTGCCAACCTGTATGAAGGTCGTATCTGTTAAAGTTGTTATTTACAATAAAAGTAATATATGAAAACATTTAAATTTCAAACATTTTATTCACCATATTACATTGGTTAGGTGATCGATCTCTAGCGTTATGCGTTTGTTGCTCTAAATAAGTCGATGACATTATTCAGCTTCCTCCCATACACTGAGAGTCGTATTGTTTACTACAGCTTTATTACGTTAGCAATATAGACTATTTAAGCATCTACCGAAAATGGGTTGAAGTATAATTTTTCATCTCAGCTAGGTTTGTAATGCTTTTTTTTTCAGTAACGGTATTTTCAATCTGATGCGTGCTAGAGAATAATTCCTTTTATGGTAATTTTATACGGCACATTAAATATTGTTGTTTTGAACATCGTTATTTCGATAGTTTTTTGTTTGTTTATTTGTTCTAGTGTCATGACTACTTTCGGTAACTTAAAGTTATCAAATGCTATGCAAATTCTTACCTGAATAATATGTTTAACAAAAATAAATGGTATGTTAAAATTGATGAAGATAGAGTGATCACATAGCAAGGAAAACCTTTCAAAGGAAGAGGCAATAAAATTTTATAAAGAGCGGACGGGAATTTTCACACCTGAATGACTGAAAATCCTTTTAACTCTGTGGTTTTATTTTTCTTTGAAAATCCATTCTGTAAATAATATTTATAACATTGGCTTTTGAATAAAAATGTTTATGGTATGTAATTGAATCGAGATCGCAACGTCAAAGTCAGGCGGATAACTTTGCTAGATAAAGTTTCGCCGCAGCTATTAGCTTTTTAAACTTGATCATAAAGTTAGATAGATCTAAGACGGAAGTTTTAAATTCTGTTGATCAAATTTAATTAAATCCGGTTTATGTAGGATTTATAAAGCTTTCAGATATTTTACCCATTACACAAATCTTTTAACTTTTTTATCGATATTAATGCGAATATTTTCTCGTAATTCGTAATTTCCCAAAAGCTGATAGTGATATCAATTAAGATTTCAGACGACGACAAGCATGTCGACAAGATCGCGATTGGTGGCTTCGATACATGAAATAAAAATATTTTTAAGAAATGGAAAATAGTGCTGTAATGTTTTCTGAATAGTTGGCGAATGGCCAACCAAGCTATGCAACTAGCAACATATTACTTCACCTATTATTTCAAACGACCAATGTTTCTGGTATAGATTGTACATATCCTTAATCCCTAATTTAAATTAATATCTTTAGACATAAGGAGGATAGTAGCACGTCGTGGTTTTCGTGACTCAATGCTCTAAATATCTGAGTTAAGGTATTGGATAAGTAATTCAGTTATGGAATAAATGCCGCATTCAATTACCCCGCGTTCTATACAGTTATTTGAAAACGGTTATTTTCAATGGCGTATTAATAGACTTTTGTACGATTGGATGCATTATTAAATACACGATGCTTTTATGATTTCACCTATTAAATAATTGAAGGTGGACAATGATGAAGGCAAACAGTAATTACGTATGTGTGGCCTCATCCCTACTGTGTGGACTGTTATTGTTAACTGCCCGTAACAGTAGAATGTGGAGCAGCACGCTAATGCATTAACGCCTATTCAACGTAAATGTAGCAAAAATAAGTAAACACCCATAAGTTTTTTTTTATTAAAGTAGCTTTCGTCCGAGACTGCGTTGGCGTAGTTTAAAAAAAACTAAGTACCCTTTGCGCTATGCCAGACTGCTATCGATCTCTGTTCTAAATTTTGTCAAGATCCGTTTAACCGTTTTGGTGTTGTATGGTAACATTTATCCATTAAAACTTACGCATTGATAATATTAGTAAAGTTCATTATGTAAGGCGCATTTGACTCTTCGATGCAATAACTTTTCGATACATAATTACACTAATTGTCTTTAAAAAATTATGATAACTTTCAGTGATAAAACAATAGCTTTTTTATTGTTGAAGGCACAAACGCCCTTTAAGGCGTTATTAGTATCCAATATTAAGTCAAATAATATTTAGCACAAAGAATATTGCTGATACATAAATTGTCGGTCTCTCCGACCATTTAAAACGTTCCTTGTGTGCTTATTTTTAGGTTTTAAATCAGCATATCGTGTTATTTAAATTTTTCATATCGATGTAAAAGCAGCTGATATTGATTGACCTAATTAAGGTTATTTATGAAACTAGAGATAAATAGGGTTTGAACGTAAAGTATAATCAACTATTTACAATTAGTCGTTCTAATAAAATAATAATAGTTAGTAATAGTTGAAAAATAACAGTTCACTGCCGGTGTACATTGCCGGTCACGGGTCGCAGTTCATATGCGGGTACAATATTACACAACTGCAAATACATCGCTTTGCTTTTAGCGGCATATTTAAATTCAAACGGTTATTATTATACGACCACTTCGTAACGTCAAAGTTTTGTTTTACTTATCAGCTAATTGTAGAATTGACCAATTTATCTGTAGTTCGTCGTAGAAATAAATCTTATTATATAGAGCAAACAATAAATGTAATGTAATTTACGTTGTATCTGAAATTCGAATAATGTAGGTTTGTTGCATCGGTTAACACAATATACAGCGTTTATTAATGGAGTTCCGATTTTTCTTTTGTTGTTGTATTTTTTGTTTTTAAAGAATTCCTTTTAGTAATGTTAACGTTAATAGCCAAAGCTTGGGTACCTAAAAGCCGTAAAACCATTAATTAAGATGTTAAGTAAAAAAACACCGTCTTATCTTACAGTCTTGTAGTTAAAATTTACAATAATACCCACCAAGAGCGTTACACTTATGTGATTGTTCAGGTTTTGTTTTTATTTCTTCTCTTTTAAAAAATCTAGTGGATACTTACATTTTAAATGTAAAAACGTTTACCGTCAAGCTAATGAAATTATCCTTATATTTGTTCTTGCTGTTCTATTATTGCAAAACTTAATAAATTATTAACTTAGGAACAGTCTAGCTCAAAGAATTGTCGTGTATCGGAATTACTCAGAAGTAATGATATAAACCAATATCATGATTCACCGTAGTGAAAACGACCTGTGTTTGTAAAATGTAACTACATACTTTATTATCCATTTATCTCTCATACAATGTGTTTTAGTAAGTAGATATACCACATTACAGCAAAAGGCACTTGAAGGATGCTTTTTGAACTTGCCTCAGTTATTTTTTTCCAAGAGGAAGGCAATGTTTTTGTACAGGTGTTCTGACAGTAGAAACACGCTGTTTTTCTTTTCAACAAGTTATTTTAATTAGTTTTCTTCACACAAAATAAAATTTGTAATTATAAATTTAAATGTTAATGCTTTATTTAAAAGCACAGAGTTATTTGGTTTACATTTCAAATAGTTGAATAGTAGATTTATCAATGTCTGTGAGTGCGGCAGTTAATCTTCTTCGTGCCATATCTTAAGGTTTAGTACTAGTATGAAATACCAATGGAATGGAAATTGCATAGCAATCAAATTCTAACTCAAACTCTCATTGTAATATCCTATTGGAATACAGTTCAACGGTTTGGGTACTGTGAATTGAAATTTATGCTGTAGGAACAGTAAATACTATTGGCATTGTGATCGGACGAAGCGCGCGAACAAACCAATTTAACGTGCATTTAGGTTATCCGACGAGGGTTCATTGCATTGATTGCATCTAGCAATTGAATCGATTAGTATCACCACAGATTAAAAAGATAGTAAAACAATGGTCTTGTCGTTTTACATTTTAACTATTTTATCAGTTTGTTAATGAAAGTCCATTTAGTTATGCTATAATAAAGATAGTTTTGAATTTGTTACTTTAAGTGCCATCTTGATTTCGATTGGAGTTTACGAATATATAAGGCAACCACTCAATCTTTTGACTATCATGAATTTTTGTTCATAAAACAGCACGTATCTGTTAGCATACCAATACGTCAAAGTCAAATATTTGCAATAAAACGAAGTGCTAAATTTAATTTTATAATATGAGAGTAACGAAGCGTGTCATGGTCGGTGGAACGCAATGCTACGTGCTGTTGTACACGAAATTAATTGGATTATGCTAAAAGCAAAACACATAAATTGTTATGCACAATATGCAACAAATATGCTCATTTTGAAATTACCTAGAGCTGGTCATGTTTATTTCAATCTACTAAACATTACCATACGTCAATACAACCGTTAACTGCAAATTTTCAATGAATTCGTCTCAGTCGCCATTTCTCACCTGTATTTATGTTTTTGTTTTTACACGTCAATGTATAAGCGAAAATTTTAATACCATTTCTGTACACTATATTGTAAAATGCGAAATAATATTTAGTCGTATTTACCGCTGCGCACGAAAAAGTACATATTGAAAATATTCCCCGAACAATCTGAAAGAACAACCATAGAATTGTTTTTTTATAGTA